CCATCCTTAGTCCTTCACAATTAGATTTGTCATAGTTGACATGTAATAAAATCATGTTGATATGTATGAAAATTCATGTATCTTGTAGCCTGCCCTGATTAGAGTTTGTCCAGTTAAGCTGTGCTGTTACATTTACCAAGCTGTTTGTATGTTAAACTAGTATTTTGATTTCAGAATACAGATTTTAAGGAACCGGAGCGTGTTTTATCAGAAGACGAAGTTGAAAAAATGAATTTAAGATACTATAATTCTGCAATTCATAGATCTTCATTTGTTCTTCCAGAATTTGCAAGGAAGGTAAAATTATAGTACGATTCATTGTAGCGAGGTAAAGTATGTAAACTAAATTAAATACGAACGAACTCTTATTTCCGTTAGGAGAAAAAATTAGTTATTGAAGCCTTCTTGATAAATTTTTTCATTTGTCTATTTTAATAATCTATATTACCCCTCACTATGAATAATCTTTCTGTTGTTTGTTCATTCTTACGGCAAATCACACACAGTTAGAATATTTAATGTGCTCATAAATATGTATTCCATCATTACTAAATAGAGTGACTGAATGCTATTCGTGAAAATACATCAAATACTAAGTCAAATCTTACTAATTGATTCCCCTCCAAAACAACAAATTTTATTTTGGGGAAAGGAATTCCCCACAAGTTGTATTAGTCTAACAGCGGGACTAAAAAAGCCTTTATGCAAACCAGAAAAGCAATTAAATCGCCTTTTCGCTCGCCTTAGTCTTCTGCGTTTCCTAATACGAATTGCATCGTTTTTTATTGAACTTGATCCAATTTAGGATGTTTCAACTTGTACACATGCTGTTATGTATAAAAAGTAACAAATGAACAAAATGAGTGCCCTATCTATTTTTATTGCACTGCCACTGGTCTGAAAAAATAAATAAATATTTTTTTAGGTGCTTGAAAAATGAAGAATGCATAGTTTGTGCTGTTTACTGATGAAATTGAAAGAACTAAATAGAGAAATGTTTTGTGATTGAGAATTGTGTGTCGGTGTTATTAGTGGAAAAGCAGGAGCAATTATCATTGAAAAGAACTACTAAATGGTGTTTGGTTTTTGGTCCATTAGAGTTGACGTCGTTATTATAAACTTCCTATTGCTGCAATTTTATTCCTATTCCAGTTCAATATCAAATATTTTACAGATAATTGTTGTTTCAATTTGTCCTACACATGCTTATGTTTGTCATTTTTACTAGTTATTTTTTGTGTCAAACTCTTCTTCAATAGAAGAATATTTTGTTGGAAATTTATTCTTTCAGCCTTTTCAGGTTCATGAACCTGGTCCCATGGTCATGCAATACTAGATACAACAGCTACTACTTCAGGTTAAATCATATAACTGAATTGTCTTTGTGCATTGTTTACAGTCTAGGAAATAAGTTTTAGTGTATCTGATGTTTTATCTTCAATTAGGCCTAGTTATCTAGGTCGTGAGACATTGAGCTATAGTTGATTCACTGGATACAACAACATGCTTCTGTCAAAGTTATCTTCATCCTTGTCTAGAGCTAAAAGTCTTCCTCTCATTGTGCGAGGCAAACCCATCATAAGGCGTAAGTATATTCCATGCATGGTATTGGTTTTTAATTTGAAAATATTTGATGGACAATGTCATATGATGAGTCACTCTGAAATGAGGAAGAGTTCAATAATTCCATTATATCTGACCATATTGACATTATTCTATAATTTTGGTAAACCTTTCAAAAAAACCTATAGTTTTGATTTGAGTATATCATTATCAAACATGGAGACCTGATTTCTTTGCTAGTTCACGTGAACTTCACTTTCTTTTACGCAAATTTGCTCAAGGCAAGGTAACATACTCACTCAGAAATGTCGGAGATTGATCTCTGAGCGAAATAAATGTACCACTGAAGCGCCAAGAGCTACTGAGACACGCTTCTGAAGTATTGGAGCACAACCTGAACCATAACCTGGTACACACACTGTGTTCAGGTTGTGCGCCATCTTTGGTGCACATACTTCAGGAACTCCACTGAGACTATAATGAATCCTAGTGTACACTCATTCAGAAACAGTTGATACTCATCTCTAAATAAAGTTACGGGTGACCACCAAAACACAAAGAGCCATGATACTAAAGAATTATAGTGTAGAATTGCTAGTTATTGAATAATGCCGCAGGACGTAAAGCAGTTTATACCAAACAGCTACAAGGTTGTGGATTTCACATTACTAAGAGTTTCGGAAAAATATCTTTTTTTTTTTGGCTGGTATATGCACGGAAAGTCTGGTGTAGGCTCAAAGCCAGCCAAACTTGACAAAGTAGTCATAGCACTCAAGGAATATGCAAAATTAAATTGGACTGGAAACAAAAGGGATTCATCCATTCAACTGTAATTGAGATCAGTTTGCAAATCTAGCGATTTGCATGAGGCCTATTAAATAAAATTATGCTTATGCCGATATTATGTTATCATATTTATATTATTTTCAGAACCTGTGCGATATGGAGGCCATAAAAAAATTCTCTATACTTTCGTTTCCAAACAGAATTCAAGGGACTTTATAAAGCACATGGTTAGTACCATCATGAATACCAATTTCTTGATATATTTGGTGTGAAATTCTAAATATTATATTTTTGGATTCTAACTACTTTTTGTGTATATTATAACGATATGTTTCACAATTCACATACAATGGAAAATTATATTGAACAATAAATGTGGAACGCCAGTTTTTAAACAAATAATTTTGGTTCGATTTTTCTAAGTGTTTTTAAGAGTGGCATCGTTGTCAATTGTCATGACAATAGCAGTTCAAATTTCAGGCCATAGGCTGGTATAATTCTAAACTTGAAATTCAACTATTCCAGAAATTCTACACAGCACTTGGCTTAGTTCCATCACTTCTTTTAATGTTTTACACTTCGTATGTGGTTGGCGAAGCAGAACTTTATGACTATGACATGGATCAATACGAACCAGAGTTCTATGAATTTTTTGCAGTAAGTACATTGAGTAAGCTTTATCATAACTGGCATAAACTTCTTTCAAGAGAGAAGATGTGAGGGGGACTGAAGATAATTTGACCTTAGGGTAAAGTTCATGGGGTCAGAGTTTGGCATTTTTATTGATGTTGAAGCAAGAGTCATATTATCAAATTTGATGTCAATATGTGTCAAATTTTTCTCAACTTGTTTCCTGTAGTCGAAGTCATGATTTTTGTCAACTAAAACAACATTAATTAGACTGAATAAGTAATCTCAACAGACAATGAAAGAAGGCACCAAAGCTCAGATGTCAAAATTTGGTTTTCTCAGAGTTGGCAACTGGAGTCTGGGCCAGGAGTCATTTTTAATCTTCCATGAATATAATAATATGTGGCTATACTAAAACTTGATCGCCTTTCGCATCTACTGTCAGTGTCAACTCAACAGAACCGTTGGTGCTAAAAATTCAATCAATCTTTCATAATTTATTTAACAGCATCCAATAACCAGGTTCCTAGCAAGATACTGCATGGAAGATCCAAAATTGTCTTACTACAAGGATATTTATGCTATCGAATTGAAAACATCATGGACACGTCTGGGTTAATTATTTTTAATTTGATCCCATAAAACTAACCAGTAACCTGCAATCGCTCGTTGTAGTATATCTGGTAGATATTCGGGACAGTCAAATGCTTAACTAGTTACATTGGCGTTAGTGAAATGCCTAAAATTTTGGCCAATCAACGATTTTTATTGGTACTTGGAATGAAGCTGCCATGAACTTCCAATTTATGCTATTAGTTTCAAAATATATCCTGGAATACGCTCGCACTCAAAGATAAAAAAGAGTTTATGAGAGACTTTTGAAATGCTAAATTTTACTCAATTATAATGGTGGTGCATTACACCTTTTGCGAGATTTAAAGCAGAATTTCTTTGAAAAATTATAACCAGCAATATATGAAGCAACCTTGCAAATACCGGCTTAGAACTTCGAATAAATTTCCCAGCTAGATGAGGCAATATATCTGTTGTATACCAGTTGATGAGCTTTGTCCCTCAACATTTCAGTAAATTATGTGACGCTGTAGAAGAAATGGAGAGTAATGCCCAATTTCGTCGCTTGGCAAATTAGCACTGGTATAATTGACAATGCTAAGAACAAGAGAAAATTAAGAGGAATACATTGAAGAACATGGCATAGAAACTGTTGGAAGAAGAGACTGATTCTATCTAAACTCGCAACATATTTTTGATCCCTTGAATCTCTTGTGTTTTTGTTTATCGAAAAATATATGAACAATAACTGATATAGTAGTTAATAGATATTCACAGTGGGATTTTAATTTACTCTTCGTCAATGTATAACATTGTTCGGTCAGTGAGGCCGAGATCCTTTAACGTTCTTTTCCAGTTGTTTAAGCTTCTCTTTTGGCACTTGCAACATAGAGTATACAACGCATCTTCTAATAGGAGCTTCATTTTAGTTTTTGCAAGTTCATCACATCATTTATAGTGCTTGTTGGGCGAAGTATCTCTCTACTCTTTTACCATCTGGTAACTTGAGTGCTAATCTCAATCTTTCCTCTCCTGCTGGGGGTTCCGTCTCTGCCCATTTTTCCGGTCGCCCTTGACCAGTATTTTTAGCTCTTGCAGTGCGTGGAGGGAAACAGATTTTGTTGTCATCAAGGACTTCTAAACTTCTTGTGTTGGGGGCTGTCTTGGTTATTAATATTGTTCTGTTTTCCTGTGCCATTGCTAGCTGCTGTGCGTTTCATTTTGGATGCAGAGTGACTGCTATTTGTTTCTTGTTTGAAATCTGACACGCTCGAATCACTTTTATTCAAGTTCGCAGTAGCGCTGTCAAGAATCATCTGCTGGGCAAAGGAAGACAATAAATCCAATTCTACAACACTCTCTGTTGGGCTTGTAACTCTGAAATCACTATGGTCTGGCGTCTTTGGAATCATTGGGAGAATACTGTATTTTGATAGCGATGATACAGGCCTTGAGACTTCAGGAAACTGAGATGGATCCGGGCCTGTTTAAATAAGAATATGGTTTTAAGTGTCAATGTCGATCCAGGGTCAAAATTGCCAGCTATCCAGTATTTATGGAATTATGATGCCAAGTTTTACAAAAGTTTTCTAATAAACCCATTGTCCAGTTATGAATCGGCTCATCGAGAGGCTATGGTTTGTTGTAGCATGAAAGTCGCTTTACCTCTACTTCGTGATAAAAATGAAAATTTTATTCCTATTACATTTCCTGTGAATGAATTTATTAATATCAACCTTCAGAGTTTGTATCTTCTTCAGGTTTCTGTGATGACTTGCTTGGTCTTGAGGATGCATTCCTGTAACTGCTGTTGGGGGGCCCACTTCGTCTCAGTGAATAGCCTCTGCGACCATAGGAGTGGTTTTGTTCGCTGTACAAATTCAATTAGAAATAATTTCAGATATACATTTACAAACTTCCCCGACAGGAGCTGAGATTGTTGCCATCATATTCGTGCCATGGTCGTTTACCTCAAAATACATGTGTCATACTTAAAGCTTGGTTTTGAACTTTGAATATCAATAATACAATAGAGGGTATGGCAACAAAATCAACTAATGGCTGATTTTGCATGTTTTGCTCACTTAATTAAACGAACTACTGTAGTACTTTCGAACTATCCCTGATAACTCTCATACCTATTTAACACAGGCAATTCTGTAATGTTACCTTGTGGAAGACGATGTTGGTTCCTGAGTCTGATGTTGTCTTGGACGCGACGGAGGTGTAGGGCGTGCTTTCCCTTTAGCGGATTTTGGTCTGACTGAACGTTGCATTGATTTTAAAAGTCTGAAAGTGTGTTGATAGTAGTAGTGCTAGTATACCTTCGATACTTTAAAATAAATGCCACCGCTAACTCATAGGTGCAAAGTAAAAAATCTCGAAACATTTTTTTTTTTTTTTTTTTTTTTGCCAAATTTAAATCCATAGCCAAATCGGATTTATGAAAATGATAGTTTTGGTTTATCCAAATATATTATTATGTCAATTTAATTGCATGAATCCCAATTTCCAAATAATTTAGGTGTTAAGTATACAATACATGATATATAAATAATCACAAATATCAATTTAATCAGATACATTTACCCATATTAGTTTGAATTGTGTCCACATTCATGAAATGTCAATCCATGTAATCCAGTGACCATTGTGCATACATTTTTTTTCATTTTCAGTAGTTATACCATATATATTATAAATTTAACCGATATTATCATTCAATATGGAAAACAAAAATATTTAAAGAATTAGACAAATAATCATAAAAACGCCCATCATGCTATTAGGCGTTTTCCAGATTCTCGGTCTATGCAAACTTTTTTTTTTTTTTTTTCTTGGAAATAACATTTTATTATAGAGTCTGTGATTGCAGAAACGATAGTTGCAGGTGTTAGGAATTAATATTAAAACAAGTTTAACATGAAATAATACATTATACACCCACAATGTTATCTGATATATCATAATTTTCATTACAACACAACAAACATTCACATTTTTATTTATTTTTTTTTTAACTGAATTATTTCAATGTATATAAATTTCAGATAATAAGTATGAAAACTATAACTACCATATTCAAAGCATTACTGATTTTCCTAAAAGAATTTCAATCTTTTCATCTTCTAATATTTCCTCTTTTACAAATTCATTCATACTTCTTAAAGATCCTATCATCACACATTTAAACATAGTTCTAAGTATGGACTGATATGTTTCCAATTCCTGAAATATTAAACCATTTCTAAAATTCCAAATCGCTGCTTTACCACAAGCGATAATTAGATTCAGTGATTTAGTTTCAACCTCTTGAGTAAAAATATTATGCTGTGTATAACTTGTTAAATTTAGCCATTTCCAAAAGGATTTTATATAAGAACAGTTGAAAAATAAATGAATACAATTTTCAATGACTCTATTACAAAAGACGCAATTGCCATTTGTATCTTCTGCCCAATGTCTAATTCGTTCTCCAGTTGGAATCCCATTTTGTAAAATCTTCCAACTTAGTACCTGGTATTTTCTGGGAATATAATTTGCCCAAACTTTATTCCAAGTAAAATCTGTTCGTAAATTAAATTTATAAATAATTTTACAACGTTTCTGTTTCCATTGGTCACTGTTAAACTTTTTTAATATTTTCCTATACAATATTTTTGTTGTGGGATTTTCTGAAAAATCATATTTAAATTCCTTTGACATGGGGATATGATTGCTTGTTTTATCTCTTAATATATTTTTCCATTCCTGGGGAATAGATTTCAAAATTTCTTGAACAGATAAAATAACTTTCTTCATTTTGTCTTTTACATCATTTATATCCATCATTCTTATCCTATCTTCTCCATATATTTTTTCTAAAATTTGTCTACATGTTAATTTAATAACATGTTCTATTTTTGTTATATTTGATTTAATCCAATTACTCAGATTATCTGGATGATTTTGCAACTTAATCAATGGATTAAACCAAATATATTCTTGATAAATTTCAGATCTTAATTGCAAAGGGTTTCTTTTTAAATTTAATGCTTTAAAATAATTGACAATATTTGTATAGAATTGAGGTATCGATTTCTTAAAATTGTTTCTCAAACTAAGATGGATAATTTCCAAATTAGTTGTTTGAAGTTTATTGTGATAGTTATTTATGTAATTTCTAGCTCTGTTACTCCATGGTGCTTTATTACCATCAATCAATTTCCACAACCATTTAAGTTGAATGCTTTTTATTTGTATTTCTATATCCATGCATCCTAAGCCCCCCTGCATTTTACTGGCACAGCATACACTTCTGCTTATATCTCGAAACATCCCTCACACTTGGAAACAAGGAATAAACGTAAACAAAGTGATCGCCACTGGCGCGTGACATGACGATGCAGACGTGGTGTTTGGAGATTGCTAGCAAATTCGATTTCAAACTTTCAGAAACGTGACAAGAAATTTGAAAATTACAAATACATTTCCGTTAAGTAATAGTACTCAGATTGAGAGAACAATTGGAATATTTCCTATTTCGAGAAATATTTTCATGCTTATTTCACAAACTGATTTACTTGTTTCAAAATTATCATTTTGATTCAAAAATATTTATCTATCTGTTCTTAAAATTAATGATAGCTAATTTAGATCTAGTATATCACAGCTTTTTTTACTGTAACTAAGCTTGCATTCTTGAAAGACAAGATGACTCTTGATTAATTTGTATTTGAACCAAATTGTGGAAACAAAACTAAAAACTGACACCACCAAAGCGTGCTAATGTTTCTGGGCTGCCGTACATACTGTAATTGTTTAGCTAATATTACGGAAATAAATAATCTGGCCGAATATAACTGGTTCTGAAAAATGATTATCTCGTTACAACAGCCAGGCCTTGTTTGTGCTTTCTTTTTTCACTCGCTTTCAACGTATGACATATTTTCTAGTGTTCCAGCATTTAACAATCAGACTTTTGCACAAAATAAATTATAAATTTGACTCCTTGCATTGCAGTTCTTTTCAGCAATGCCGACGTTTCCAATAGAAGGTGTGAGTCTTTTGAGGTTAGTGATTGAAATCTTTTTTCAACCCGTCAGAAAACTTGTACTTTGTTTTTGGCATTCTGATGATTCAGCGACAGTACAGTTGGGTGTTATATTAACTTATGGCCCATACTTCATATCATAGCTATGACAACAATTTCTCTCTATTTGAAATAGTGAAGTGGGTTGCAAATCACAGTGCTGCAGTGGTACATCGGCTGCCCCCGTTAAAAATAATTTTTGTTTCAAACAAAAAAATATTTATGACTTCCATAGTGCATAACTAGGACATTTTAAGTTGTCGCGACAACTTGCTGTCGGCCGGATTGACAACTTGCTGAAATCGGGATGTATGGTAAACATAACTAACCTTTATTTACGAGTACCCGTATTAAATAGTACCGGTACTGGTATTTATTTTCATCAAAAATAGCCCAAATTATGCATTTCAATACACATGGAAAACGTCCAGATGGGATGCAATAGCCTATGTAGGATCACATTATTTCCACTTTGTATCAAATTTAACATCTTGCTTTCGGTCTTACTACTTACTGAATACAGCGCGAAACACCGCAAAGAGCGCAAAACAGCGCAAAACAGAGGGAAACAGCGCAAAACAGTGTGGAAACAGCGCGAAAGTGCGCAAAACAGAGGGAAACAGTGTGAAGCAGAAAAAATTTTTGCAATGAGTTCGGGGCACCTTGTTTTGAGTTGGAGTACCACGGCAGCAAATTAAAAACACAAACCAACGTATGTAGCCAGTAATGCTGTAATGACAGGTCTGCCCCTGCTGGTGACACATTTTGGGTACCATAATTTAGAACATTTTCCATATAGATATGGTTGGCTTTAGGGTTAGGGTTAGGTAAAAGGGACCCCCAGAAGTATGTGCACCAAGATGGCGCACAACCTGAAAAGAGTATGTGTGTGTGTAGCGGATTCAGGTTGTGCGACATATTGCTGCACATACTTCTGGAGCACCAAAAAGGTAGATAAAATTTCGCATGGTGACCTATAATCCGGTACATAACCTTGTAAATATGCCGGAAATAGCGCCATAAAACCATGGCGAGAGGCGCCGTGGTTCTTTCGTGGCAGGAGGTGGTAATGACTACGTCTCCTGTTTTGCGCTGTTTCCCACTGTTTTGCGCTGGTTTCCTTCTGTTTCGCGCTGTTTTCCTCTCTTTTGCGCTGTTTCGCGCTATTTTGCGCTGTTTCGCGCTCTTTTGCGCTGTTTTGCGGTGTTTCGCGCTGTATTCAGTAAGTAGTAAGACCCCTTGCTTTTACATTATTGAATCTAGACTATTCATGAACAAATTGCATGTTCATGTGTTTTATAGGGTCTAATCGATAACTTCAGTTTGGGTTCTACACGCAATTTAACCAATTTATGGTGACAACATGGCAAATGATCTCAATAGTATTTTTTCCAAGTTGCGAAACTTCGATGCTTACCCCAAGACTCTGGAAGATTTTCGCATCAAGACATTTGCAGGAGCAACTGTAACCATCATTTCTTCTGCTATTATGATATTCCTGTTCTTATCTGAATTGAGATATTATCTCACAACAGATGTTATGGATGAATTGTTTGTAGATATGTCACGTGGTGATAAAATAAAGATAAATGTGGATGTGACCTTCCATTATCTTCCATGTGCTTACGTAGCTTTAGATGCCATGGATGTGTCTGGCCAACGACAAATTAACGTTCACACAACCTTATATAAGCAAAGATTGGCAAAAGATGGTACTGTAGTTACTGAGTCAGAAATTGTAGTTTTGGAAGACATCAGACCTAAATCCAATAAAACAGTACCAGGTGTAAATGAGTGTGGTAGTTGTTATGGAGCTGAAACCGTAGATCTAAAATGCTGCAATACATGTGACGATGTTCGTGCAGCATACAATAAAAAAGGATGGGCATTTCCAAAAGGTAACATAGTCAAACAATGTGAAAATGAACAATTGAAAGAAACGTTGGAGTTACAATCTGGTGAAGGATGTCGTTTGCATGGATACCTTGAAGTAAATAGAGTTGCTGGGAATTTTCATGTTTCCCCTGGAAAAAGCTATGAAATGGGTCATATGCATGTACATGATATGGCAGCGTTTGGATCCGGTGCTAAATACAATCTCACTCACACAATCAACCATTTGTCATTTGGGGATAATTACCCAGGTCAAATATTTCCACTTGATAATCACTATGTCTATGCAGAAGCAGTGGAAATGGTGTTTCAATATTATCTTAAAATTGTCCCAACCACCTACATCAAGCTTTCTGGTGATAAGTTGAAAACCAACCAGTTTTCTGTAACGAAACATCAAAAACAACTGTCTTCCAGTGGAGCAGAAACCAGCCTACCTGGTCTTTTCGTTTCATATGAGTTATCTCCAATGATGGTTCGCTACACTGAGAAGAGACGTTCATTCTTCCATTTTCTTACATCAGTTTGTGCTATTATTGGTGGAGTGTTCACAGTTGCTGGATTGATTGACTCTTTCATATATCATGGGGGTCGTGCATTGCAAAGAAAAATTGAACTAGGCAAAACGACATGACAAAAATTTCCTGCTTATTATTAGGTAAAAACTAGAGAATATCACAAATAGAAAATTATTTAAATCATTCATCATAATGTGTATGTGCTATTACGATACGGTTAATATAAATATCTGCTGTTGGGCACAGTTTAAATTTGTTTGATGAAATTATTTTCTTAGTTGTGAAGGTTGAAATTTTGGTGCTGTGTTGACAATCTGCTGTATTAAAGATACTATGCAATAAAAATAGTAAATTTTTAGTGCTTTTATAACAAATTGAATGGTGTATTGTTGTAATATTGTTATAAATAAGTGGTTGAGTTTGGGCAACAGCTGTTTTCTTATTTAACTCTATATGAGCAACTATTATTAGTGCACTGTTTTGGGCTTCGTTTACTTTTGTTGCAAGTTGTGACCAGCTAAGCAAAATGTTCATTGTGGTTAACAAAAAGCTGAAACCCTGTCCTTCTACAATAGTCTTGTTATATGGATTGCATTACAAAAATCTTTTTAACAGCATGTAACGTGATATTTTATGTGACTAATATTGGTTTTCCTGGTCAATGTTGGATGTGCTTCGTCCCTAATAAAAATTTGTAGTCCAGCCCTGGAGCATCATAAACAATGGTTAGCAGGAACATTTTGTCATCCTCTTTTTTCTTTCTTGTTGGCACAAAGCTCTTTGTTGCAGATTATTTTGTTTAAAGCTATATTACTCCAGAAAGTTCGATTTATAATCATCAATATCAAGTAGAATATAATTTGTAATCTATTATTCTGTATTTAATGCAATTCTCTGTCTTGAATGTTCAAGTTACCGTATCGTTTTTCATTTGGTATGTTTTATTGGAAATTTTGATTATCACATTTTTGCATCCAATTTCAATAGTAATTTATTAGTGCATTTCATGTGGGATTGTAAACCGCCACTTGTATATTTGATGATGGTAATAAACAGAGTTCTAAAGATATAATTCTGATGCATGTTTAGGATAAATGTACATTAATCATACCAACAAAATAGTGTAGTGTCTATATGTTACAATACTGTAAGTTTAAATCAGGGGTGTGCAAGTGCAACCTTTATTACAGGAGGGTCAGATACAAGTAACTGGGTAAAGCCGTGGGCCGTACCTAGGAACTCTACCTACGTAAGTCTCTAGATACGGAAAATTTGTAATTTTTATGCGGTATTCATTTGTTCTTCCTTCTTTTCCAATTGTACCTTTTCTACTTATTATGCAGTGATCTAATTCTAACATGTATTTGTTACGGGTTGGAACCATTAGTAGTATTATAATTTCTACAAATATTACTTACGATGGGACTTCCGGAACGAATCAATTGTTATTGATCGTACAGCATTGTAAGGGGTCCTTGCAGAAGTTTTGAGTAAAAACCAACAATTTCTAAAGAAAACTGCTATTCAAATTTATTGTCACACCGACTTTAAACGAATTCGATGAGAAACACGCGTTTATAACATTGTGTATTTTCCAACAGGATTTTGCTAGATAGTTTTGCTAATGTGACAGTGGCACTCAGGTACTAGTATATGCTTCGCGACGCAAAGAGATTGAAATTGCGCGCACGTACTAGAACCAGATTAACTTAACTAAAAACTCGTTTTGCGGACACACCATTCAAAATTGGCACTTCGCGTGCCGCACAATTTTTTTTGCAGGCCGCAGTTTGTACAACCCTGGTTTAAATCATTAATTCCGATAAAAAACTAGCAACATTCATGCAGTGTTTCATTGGTACTTGCATTGCCGTTGCAAAGTGTGTGATGGAATCCCGCAACGGTGATAATTTCAACATTTTGAAATTGCAAGTTGAAAATGCAGAAAAGGTAGCGTCCATTAATCATAAAACTAGGGTATATATTTTCGATACATACGTGGAAAAGTAGAGAATTTTGTTATACAATCGAAATTGCATTTTTGTCAGAGTGCGGAAAAAGACAACGCGCGGGCAGGTGCCTGAATAAACCGTTATATTACACGCAGTCAGAGAAATTGGCAATAAACTGGCATTGTTAAACAAAATACAAATATCTTTAAACTTGTATGCGGCTAATAAAATAAAAAGGGAAGTGCTGATATTAGTCTATTTAGGAATAAGAAGTTCGAATCCGTGACCCATTATTCAAATCGTCGCCGTAATATTTATTTTGCCATCAACAAAATTACACTCCAACTCCAAGTGATCTTGTTAGGAATAAGCACATTGAATCCCATACTTTGAATTGGCATAATATGTTGTCATCTGACTTTTTCATCCTCTTTATGGGCGAAATGCGAACGACGAAACTTGCTATACAATGTGTATAAAGATCATAACAGTGTTCATTTTCTCTATATTTGATCAAACTATATAATTCCGATTAAACAATTCTGCACATTTTCGATTTACACGTATAAATTATAATATGTCGCTTTTACATTGTAATCGTACAGTCAAACCAACCATTCATCTGTGGTCTGAATAATACATATTGCCCTTAGCTGCCATGTTTGGTACAATTCAGCTGGGTCGAAGGCAAGGCCGATCTTTTCCTAGTGCATAGCAAGCGTGATGTTATTTGATATTGCTCATGTCAGTTGTCGGTATACAACTCCAAAGACAACACAATGGAAATACAATATATATCATCAATTACCGAGTATTGCAAAATTGGATTCAATGGTAATATTCATTTCGATAGCAAAATAATCGGAATATTCTGGAATGCCCTTCAGCCTATATCTATCACATTTGAGTTATCCTAATGTTCGATGTGGCTTCACTCTGTTCTGTACATTACGCTCATTTGCAGGTGCCTGCAGATGGATTTACAAAAAAACGATGCAATCGCTTTAAAAACAACATATATATCATATTATGGTAACTTTAAAAAGCTTTATGCATGGATCGAATGTCATCGTTTATTTATTATTCCTTCATGCACAATTATGTACATGGTCAATAACCATTAATCTGCGGAACATGAACTTGATACTAAGCTTTAATGTAAATCCCAAAGAACATATAGATTACGACAAACGCGAACTGGTTTCCCGTTCAAAATTATTCCACTGAACAATTCGATTAATTATTAAAATGATGAACGAGCTCTATAAAATGTAGTTACGGACATAGATTTCGATGAGTTGACTGTGTCACTTTCTGTTCGACTAGAACACATAATTGAATTTGTATTTGAAATAGTATGTGGTAAGATAATTACAGAAATATACCTTTAATTAACAATGTATGAGTCCGGTGGTCCAATTAAATTTATCTAACACATTTCAAGTAAACTTTGTCATTCGCGGGGGCTAGAGAAGGATAAATTTCAGTGATATTGATATATGAGTTCATTTCAAAAAGATTTCTCTTCTGATATCCAAACAGAAATTTTGTAAAGTGCAATGGGATTGCTAGCTGTAGCGCGAGCGATTTTTGTAAGAATTTTATTCCTATTGTACTGCTTCATTGCAACTTGGCGAGTTGTAGTTGCTTACCAAAATCCGCAGTACTGGCTTTTGCTGGGACTTCTGTCGGGGTTAATGATCGAAACGCACGTGACCATACGGATAAACAAGGGACAGGAATGGAAATGGTAAGAATTTGTTTTGTAATGGCAATTGCGTTTTTGTAATGAATTGAAAATGTTAATAAGCAATTAATAAAGGAAGAAATCTATTTATTACAATAAAGTAATTTTCGTCTGCATTTTTCGTCTTTTATTAGTATATATCGTATTTCTCTGATAGACCTGCTTTTTCAAGTAGTGATCTTACGGAGTGCAATTTCATCTATCTAACTGTGGGCAACAAATAGGACTGAATAGACCAGCGTTTCCCAACCTTTTTTGGACGCGGACTAATTTCTCAGCGGCGAAAACCTTTGCGGACTCAAGGTGCGTTTATTGCAACCGTACTCTGTGTGAAGAAGCAATAAAACCAAACACAACGGAATTTGAACGAATTTCAAAATCGGAAATTCGCCGCAATTACGCGTCCGTTAAAAGAGCCTATTTTGGGCCTTTTACTGTCGCCCTATATTTAATCCGTGACAACGACCAGAATTTAAAATGTCTTTCTATTTTAATTGTGTTCATAGTAACTCGCGGTTGCGTCGACTTACGACAAGATGATAGCACTATACTTCTTTATTTAGTTTTGATACATATTTTTAGAGATCTTGCAAATTTGTTATCGTCGTTATAAAAATCCTACTATCTGGTATAAATTTCCAGAAAGTACAACTTGATTTAGTACTTATTGAAAATATATTTAAAGTATATTAATAAATCAGAAATACATATTCACCGCCTTGATTTGTTATTAACTGGTTGCGTTGACGAAATAAAAGCAATACTAATCAGAAAATATCATGGCAATCCGTGGACACAAAAATGCATGATAAAGTGCCCGTTTATATTCTGTTTTGATTCGTATTTTTGTGAATTCAACAAATCTGAGCTGTTCGTACAACACTTATGGCGCTCCAGTACTGTGCGTACTATTGTGGGGCCTATGGGAAAATGCCCTGGTACATATACTACAGTATCACTCGAAATTTTGCGATTTGCAATGTCTAAAGAAGCGTTTTCAATCGGTCGCGTACAATCATAAAACAAAATTTATGGTGTTCTCCGTTTTATTTTTAGTATTTTGTATTACCGCTTTTCAATTTAGAAAATTATTCGAACTTGCGAGAAACACCACGAATGTGATCGTGTTTCCGTCGGAAAGTCGCAAGTGAGTCGTGAAATCCAATCGTTTTGACCTGTCGCGTCACCTGTTACCAAATTTTCGAATAGTGGATTGCTATTCTAATAGTTGAATATTCGAATATATGCCCCGCCATACTCAGTAACTAGTAATAATTGACTTGATTAATTTTATGTGAATAAACTTGATTTTTATGTTTTATGTGAATTTCAACGTAAATCGTAACTTGGCTGATAGTTAACTTTCGCAAAAACGTCTGGCGCCTGTAGTGAATTTCTGACTCGTTGCGGACTCATTCACACGCTTCGCGGACTCATTTGAGACAGCGGACTCGGGTTGGGTAACACTGGAATATACTTACGTCAACGCAATGACTATAGCCACAATCTCGCATTCTTGGAGAGGGCTGTTTGCCTCGTGTCGGTTAAGGAATATATATAAATATACTTTATGTTAATTTTCTAATTCCATCTAACCTTCCATATGACCCGAATAAGAAGACGGCGATAAACACTTCACGGCGAAGACTCGTTTTATTGGAACATATTTACGTTTCCTGACTTTACTATCTGGTTGGCGTATAATAATAATTATTGATGTCGACTTACTGGTGATATTCTGATTACCATGCTTCATTTTACATTAAATCTTTCGAGTAAGATTTCTTCCAAAAAATGATGTAGAGTAGACCATATTAATTGCGTTCAACAAAACGCGGGGTAAAAAGATCATAACTGCTTAAAACTACAACCGCGATCTGCCGACATAACGATGTGAGATAAACAAACGGCCGGATGGATGATATTTAGCTTCGATACGTATTTTTGCGATCTTGCGAATCTCAAGATCTGCTATGAAATCCCAGACAGTACAATTTAATTTAGTACAATAAAAATACATATAAAAATGTATCAGTACTGCCACTACCGTGTATCGGAAATACATATTTATCGCCTCGCAATCCCCGCGGAAACAGTTGCCACATTTACGCTACTTGTTTAGAAGTCGACTTTTTCAACGGATGATTTTTCTTTTGTGCGAATTCAATCCATAACCGATACGAGCATATTCAAAATGTCTTGCCTTATTCATTTAATTGCATTAACTGCAGCTGCGTTGACAAATTGAAAGCATCGCTAAATTTATTTTAGTACAATATATTGATTGAATATTCTTTGGATTAATTATCTTATATAATATATATCATCGCAATCCGAGGGAAGGTCGAGTACACTTCTTTGTTTGCTTGTCTTCAGTATTTCGCCACCGATGATTATATACAGAGGCGTAGCCAGAAATTTTCAAGGGGGGGGTCTGAAATTTATTTTTGCCAAGTTAGATCGAACCTGCTAGCGGGTCCGATCGAACGCTGGAATTGGTGTGTTTTTAGTGGTCTTGGGGGTCTAAAAAGCATTTCAAGCTACTGTGATAATTTTATTTTTTTACATTTCAAAAAAAAAAGGGGGGGGGGGTCGACCTGCAAAACCACCCCCCTGGCTACGCCATTGATTATATAATACTAGTTTTCTCATTGAATTCACAGTTTTGTGCAAGTACAAAAAAGTAATTATCATAGCCTCGTGGCACAACGCATACTTATGTTGAGGCAAATTTGCGATTTTGGGAGAATATTTACCGACGTAAAGGTGTTTACGGCTTAAATAATAACTCATCACGCTGACGAAATAAATATCTGAAAATTACCGGCAATTTTGGTAAAATACAATCGCGACTTTTCCGGACTTTCAACAAATTTACGCAGTCTTGATCGCACCGAATAAACACTTGATTATAATTGATAGTGGTTAAATTTAATAATTTACACCGATAATTACCACGTTTCCACGAAGTGTGGTGCATTATGCGGCCGCGTTTTCGTATCCACCGTTTACTGTTAAACTGTATAATGCGAGTCTCAATTTATTTAGCATATCAGTATTTAGGGATCACATACTTCAAACAGTTCGAGGCAAAAAAAAGTACTCTAGAATAGTAAGTTATTCTACATTGCCCATCCATGGGTGTAAAACTGTAGGGCAATAGGTAAAGTACATCCATTTCCGGTATGCGACAATTTTCTTGCGACTTTTCCGTATTTAATCAATTCAATTCGTATACCATTATAGTAAATATCGATATATTTTTTAATGATCAATATTCCTAGGACATCAGCGATTGAACAACTTCAACTAAAAGTGAATTCATAAACGAACCGTTAGAAACTCCACCCATTCTTATCCAACCATTAAATGGATTTTTGCGAATAATCAAGTGTGATTCTTTTCATCAGGTTCTCTCCCGCTATGTTCTTCTTTCTCGTTGCCGCATTGCCCTGTCTGTGGTTATTGGAACTTCGACTTATGGAACAACGCTACGACAAATTTAACGGTGTCTATCAATCGTCACATTATTTGCTTTCGAAGCAGAACACACTGTTCGGGGTAACATTTCCACTACTCTGCAACTACTCTCGAGTTACCAAAACTCATGTAAATTTAACGCACTAATGGTTTATTTTTAGATTAAATTGCCAACATTACTCGACGAATTTGGGTGGGCTTTGGCCTTGGAGCAGTCACTGTTATTCATTCTCATCTGCTGCCGAGGTATACTGCCACGAGGAAAAATTTCTAGAGATGAGTTATCTCAAATTTTACTGGTGCACATGGGCATAGCAGCTGATATTTTGGACCTATTTTCGATTTTCAATGAAGAAGAGGTGAATGTTTAACTACAACTACATGTCAGAGATATTTCAAAAATTTGAACGACTTTTTCTTTCAGTTACTTCAACGACCGACTATTATATACCCAACGTTATCTTTGTGGACGTTGAGCTTACTACAATACAGCCTCGTTATTACCTCAAGTCGATCCCGAAGAAATAGAATGGCTGGGATCAGTATCAGAAGGGGAGAAAGCAGCAGATCTTGGACCTGTGCAGAACCCCGGGGTGGAAGACGGTAAGACAATTACGAAACCATACGTGTATACATTTTCCGATATCAGCTGCTTGTTTAGTAGAGAAAAAATAAGACGACTCAGGGGGTGGTGGGTCTTTTTTCCATCCTGATTATTTATCTTTCGTTGTGTGGTGTTCCTAGGCTCTTCCAAGAGTAAACTTCTTGCAACCAGCAACATTTGACCTCATGGATATAGTATCAACGTACATATATAATAACAATATTTCTTCTAACGATACTCCGTGGATTGATTAAGCAAGATGAGCTTTAGATTAATACATAACAACTATGACACTCCATAAACGACCAAAAAATACTAGTTTTTAAAGTGGATGAAACTCTCGAAAAGTTAAATCTTTAATTCCGAAACTAATGAATGCTATACATTTGTGAAGTTTGAAAATTTGTGGCTTCATAACGGGAAATTGCTTGGGCAAATAACTCTTGAACGGGTAAAATGGCAATGGTGGTCTTCATTTTTCTTTTGCAGGCGCGTTCGGAAATTGGGGTTTTGGTCTAGCGATTTCTGGTCAAACAAAGACGTTGTCGGGGTGCTGTCATCAACCGCAATGCAGGATCTACCTTTTTTTATATTTCGCCTTTTTCTGTTGTCGGGTAAAATTTTGCTTACTAATTAATACAAACAATCTTATTCTTTCTAATTGTAATATAATATTTTTCCAAATACTTCCACCTATTTATTTTTGCACAAAGTTAACGGAGTGAAACGATTATTTGATTGCATAATCATTAAATACCTTGCTATTATTACTATCAGACCTAATATTTTTAATCTGCATCACCAATATTCGTGTCTTAATTTACAGTTATGGGAATCTTGAGCCACACAATGGCATTCTTTACTTGCAAGAATGCCTTGGTTGTTGTTCTTCAAATCCACCGCCTTCGTATTATATATTCGGAGATTAAATACGATGGTATAGAAATAGCAAGAGCACACTCTGAAAGAGATGGAATCAGTGTTGTTGAATTAAATCGTGCTGATATTGTGGAACGGCTAAACAGTAGGAAACCTACCCATGAGATGGTGACTACTTCAGATTCCCTTGAATTGCCAGGTCTACCTTCAAACAAGCATGAACTGCATTGTGATAATGATACATACTCCACTGACGGAAAACCATCGTGAAATATTTCCTGGCGCGGGCAGTGAACTATTATTTGTAGGCCTACAAACTTCTTATTGTGCATAAATGTAAGATTAGACGATATCAAACTGTGGACGTTTCCGTACCATTGTTAGTCATTTTTAAACTCACGGTAACATAAAGTCGCATTTAATAATATCATCAGTGTTTCCTATAATATTTTACTTTATTTTCTAAGTGCATCCAAATTTATTGGATTTGTACTGTAACTTAACATTGAGATATAAATTTTATAGATCAGAATGAAATTTTATTTCATTATTTTTTGGTAGTTAAAAACCAACAAGAATATAGTTCGGTTCCCAATGCCCATTACGCTAATTAAAACTTTGTTTTGGTAAGGTGCATAATTATAACTTTTGTTGGAATATTGTATATATATATGACCAAAAAGGAATGCTACCCTAGTGATACTCATATATATATATAGTAGGCTACCAGGCTACCCCATCTCTGTAAATTTAAACTTTCCCACCGCTGTGTTGTTTTATTCTTGTCGTTAACATGAGCATTTTCTGTGGGACAAATCTATCGATTTAATTATTTGCTTGCGATCGTGGGCAACCGTATAGTTGGCGTAATAATAATTGGGTCAAGGAATTCCCTGTCGGGGTGGTACTAATTAACCATTCCTAATAAATTAAGCCTTATTGCGTGTTAGCATGCAACGTGGAATCTCAGATAAAATATTATAACGTGAAATTCACCTTGTGGATGTTTTTCCGATCCCCCCGGATGTTTTCTCACATAGTTTACCAATATGGTGAAAAAGTTGCTTATTTTGAGATTGAATTAGCGAGTTAAAGCATGTAAACGGGTATACATATTCATAAGCACAATTTTGTTTCAAAATATTTAATTGGGCATTATTTTTTTTCAAAATATATTGTATTGATTAAAAAATGTTGAGTTTTGCAATGTTCAGCTCTAACAACTATAACTAATCGATGACCTTCTGTTACTAATATATTTTCGCTACATTCATTTACATTTTCTGGACCTCCTGAAGTATACGCACCAAGATGGCGCACATCCTGGACTCAGGTTGTGTACCAGGTTAGGGTTCAGGTTATGCGACATCTTGGTGCGCATACTTCCGGATTCCCCATTTTCTGCTATATCTGCAATTATTGATATCCAACCTACCGGTATGTACACTCTTGACAAGTCAGTCATTTTCTTGATCCATGACTATTTATATGATGTGCGCCTGCTTAGGGGCCGATCAGTTTTATGTGAATTTATTTCCTTTTCATTCCGGTACCTGCTACACTACACTGCTTTTATGCATAAATCTATTTTAAGATAATCTACATCTGTACCAGCTGATAGACTACCGCTACCGTAACGTTGTCATGTACCAGTAGCACAATGCACAGTGTCAGCTAAACTCTTGAATTGAAGTACTTGAACCTGGTTTTCTTCGTCACTGTGCATAGCTAGTCGCTACTACTTCACATTGTAACCATGTGGGCGGCTACCGTGTTTCCCCAAAAATAAGACAGGGTCTTTTTTCAAATTTCTTTCGAAGGGCTTATTTTGGGGGGATGTCTTTTAATTTATCAAAAACAAAATTACAAAATACAGAATTGCGAGATTTTCAAATTTCAAATATACAAAATATGAAAATAGATATCCATTTACTTATAAATAAGAGAGAGAGAGAGAGAGAGAGAGAGAGATTTATTTCGTCAACCAGAAAAAAACAGTCATAATAATAAATAAATAGTGGCTATAAAAAAATACGCTATTTTCGGTATAGACTGGAAAGAGCGATACGACCATGCGGTCATCGAAGTCAGCCCCCTCCAAGTTTACGCTGATAAATTCACAGTAAAATAAGATTATTAGAAATGGTTGAAGTTCACGACACAAAATTTGAAAAAACAAACAAAAAAATGAAGTAAATAAAAGTAATTAATTTTTTTTCCGTGAAATCAATTTTTAAATGATGAGATTTGAAAGTGAGGAGTAAGACCCACAAATTAAAAAAAAACAATTTTGGCTATTGGACTACTATACTCAATGTAGATTTGGACGCAAGGAGCCAGCCTTACATGTACGAATGAATTTCAGGAGATAAACAACATGGTACTCATGTAAAACAATTGGTTCAAGAGAGGAATCAACCTTCCAACGAGAATATCGGTCAGAGACCGAGGACTTATCGATCAAAAGTCAGGGGATCCCCCAAAAAAGCGCTCTTACTCCATAGTGACAACTTGTGTCCCATCACTATTGATTAATAACTCGCTAATTATACGATATACTTCGCCCAAAATCAATAGGCTTCTGGTCCGAGATATGATGAATGCACATGAAAAATCTGGAGCAGATTCGATCTCGTTTTCGTGAGATATATTAGGCTTATATTAGGATAGGATTTACATATTTATCCCAGGGGAGAGGAAAGAGGGTAATTGTTACGTCGCCTCTATGTTGTTTCTGACTTGACTGCGACACTCATTATGTGCCCTTGGCCGCAAGTTTTGTGACTACCAATGATTTATCCATGGGAAACTTTGAGACTTTCTGAGAATTGTTTTTCTTAGTCCAGTATTGTTTAATATATTCGAGTGCCTCATAAATTTTTATAGTCTTTTTATGCGGGTTTAGTAGATCAGCATTTCTCCATTAGACACTGGAAAAGTAAAAACTTGCTTATGCGTAAAGCTCGACGCGGAGGGTTAGCCCATCTGCGTCGGTAAGCGAGTTATCCGTCTGCAACGCCAAACTAAAAGTCCTGGTTGAGAGCTTTAGTCATGGAATGGGCTTTCGTAAAATTTTGTTTCTGGAGCTACAAAATGACCGAAAATGCGTTGCTAATGATGCAAATATGTGAATCATTACCGCACACCAAATGATGTTGGCAGGTTTGGAAATATACTGACGTGAAACCATTCTAGATAATCTGTATTCTGCATACAACGTCATTAGTTCTCAAAGTCCAGCTCTCCCACGAACGTGCGGACATTTTGCTTGTTACTTATCGATTTTAATCGGTAAGTATGTTGATAGGGATTTGCCTGTTTGTCTGTCTGTCTGTTAGATGTACGCGATATCTCACGAAAACGAGATTGGATCTGCTGCAGATTTTGCATGTGCATTCATCATATCTCGTACCTGAGGCCTATTGATTTTGGGCGAATTGTGTCGTATAATTAGCGAGTTATCAATTAATTAGTAATGGGGCACAAGGTGTCACTATGGAGTAAGAGCGCTGTTTTGGATCCCCTAACTTTCGATCGACAAGTCTTCGGTCTCTGACCAACATTCTCGTTTTCCCTGTTATTCTGTCTCTCCCGTTCGACAAGATGTTCCTTTTGCGTGTGCGTTATTGTACATTCGTATGAAGATAAATAAACCAAAATCTGCGGTAGTCATTTCATATCCATGCCAAGGTCATGTTAACGATGCGTTAGTAGTTATGTACGGTTGCCCTGGTTATATAGCTCATACATCCAGACCGATCCAGACCAAAGCGTGTATATAAGCGTGGACCGATCCAGACTAACGATTAACATATCAGATAAGACAAATAGACAAGCCCACCATCTGTTCCGCTTGATTTCACATGTGATGAACATGTCAGAGCTCGTGATTTCCGTCGCCAGATTGTGGAATCAGCGTTTCGTTCTGTGGTGAAGTGTACGGTGGATTCTGTTTGTCATTATTTGATCGCTTCGCGTAGTATTTGTCGACCATGAGGCAGTTGAAGTATCACGAAAAGAAGTTGTTGAAAAAAGTAGATTTTTTCGCTTGGGAAGCGGATAACAATCTTCACGAAATAAAGATTTTAAGGAAATATAGGATACAAAAACGAGAAGATTACACGTCATATAACAAATTGAGTCGGCATGTGCGATCGATAGCGCGCAAACTAAGAGATCTCGAAACCGATGATCCTTTTAGAGAAAGATGTACTGCAAAATTATTAGATAAACTTTATAGAATGGGATTAATTCCTACGAAAGAGTCACTGGCATTGGTGGACAAAATAACGGCGTCTACATTTTGCAGGCGACGTTTACCTGTCATGCTCGTTAAGTTGCGCATGTCGCAGTATTTGAAAATGGCCACGGAATTGATTGAGCAAGGACATATCAGAATTGGAACAGATGTTGTAACAGATCCTGCATATTTCGTCACTAGAACTATGGAAGATTTTATAACATGGAAATCGACGTCTAAAATACGAAAGCACATTATGGAATTTAATGACGAAAGGGATGACTATGATTTTGCATAATATGACTGAAATGTGTTAGAACCTTCAATACTCTCTTTGTGTTGGTGCATCAACTCTAACACAGAACGGAGGTGCAAGATTTTCTGTGATGATTTTTCATTTACAAAACTTTTTTTGCAGCATTGGAAGCATTTATATTGATTATAACAATAATTTATTTATCAATGTAATGTTTCAATTATTTGCAAAATTTCTAGATATATTAATGCCATTGTCAAGCATTACTTTTTGGAGACTGAATATTATTTGCCACAAACATATGTAAAAACATTGTACACAAAAACTCAACGATTAAATTATTGTAGAATGCGTTATCAAAATGTAGTTTTTTTGTTTTACACTAAAATAGTAGCTGAAAGTAATATTGCAAAATCATATTTTGAGTTTTTGTAATAATAGAATAAAATAGGTATTTCGGGATTTGAACGCCATTTTTAACTACAAATATGCTCGAAAGAAGTGCTCTACTCTGTTGTATTTCAGATCCTCCAGCCGCTATTTTTATTGTGGGGTTCTTCAAATTCATGTACTGACTCGTGTTAATAATGGTCTGAATCGATATGCGTTAATTGATTTAGGAAATTACTTTAAACTTCTGATTAATATTTGTTCAGTATATTTATCACTATATTCTTCACACATGAAACATTACGAGATGGATGCTTTGTCAAACCGCAAATTGTTGAAGGTACTTTTTCTGCTTAGTTTTGGATATACTCTTATTGTTGCTGAATGCACGTTAAGTGCCCAAAAAGATTCAATATCCTCACGACACATCTCTAGTTTGGATCCACTGAAAGACAAAATGTAAGTTATGCCTAAAATAAATTCATGAAATAAAGACTTTCCAAATACCTCTGGTAGTCCAAGGTTGCGAGGTTGAAGGGCCGCAATCGGAGAAAACCCAAAAGTGATCAAAACATTGCGAGTTTACTCACTTTAAATATATTTAAGCATGAGAGTTTATTGTCCTAATCAGTTTTTCATGGAAACTATATGAAGCCTTTAGTTATTTTAAAATTGCTTCAATCAATCAAATCGTTTTCATCAGCCTTTTCGGAAAAGCACAATAGAATGAAAGCAAGAAATATCACGGAATATTTGTATATATTCATGCCTTTGCACCGAATGGACAGGATAACCACAAAATGACCAAGCGGCACCTTGAAATAGCTTAAAACTTATGGATGCGAAACATTTTTATGGGGAACAGCATCGCTCCAAGATTTTTCTGAGAAATATCAGGGTAGTTTTGGTATCTATCCCGTGTTTCGTTTTGTGAAGTCGCTTAAAATCATATTCTTTCGTGACAGATATTATTTGAAAACACACCAGACACTGTAGTTTAATAACATTGTTGTGGATAAGCAAATGCGTTTCCTCGCAAATGTTCAAATAATTTAAGACTAGCAGGCCTAAGTTCGGACCTCGAACCCAGTGATGAAAAAAAAGTGGATCGCTCTGTCAGCTCTGCGGTTTGTCACTGCTGTCAGATGGCCAACGCTTGAAAATAGTGGAGTGTTTTGACTAAAATAAAGGCACGAAATCATCGGCTTGGTCCTGTGTGCACAAGACAATTCATTCCCTATTCACAGATCACAGGATGTCATCCCCATATGGGCATGATCTTGACGTTTATAGATACAACAATGAAATTCTGTGATATTAACAAACATCAATCCCGATATCGGGATTAGAAAAATAACTATTCCCAGTTGGAGTAGTTTGAAAATAAATCAAAATTGTTCTGCTGAAAATACAAATATCTGCCAATGGTTTAGTAGTGTACGCTAAAATTGTTCTTCGGCCAGAGGGCGGCAGTTTGGACGACTCTGTGTTAGATCAATCGCTCTTTTGGGTGACCGTACATTTGAACCCATGCGTATATCCACGGGTTCAATCTATATGCGGGTGCTAAAACCCATGGGTAAGTATGCGTTCAACTATCCGTGAAACAAATAAAAATTCCGTAGGTGCAATAGCATACAGGTGCAATTGTCATGGGTTCAAATGTAATGGAACCCTCTTTTGGCCTTTGCGAAGGAGTATGCTTAATAATTTTCTGATTTTCTCCCATTAGTAATTTCCAAATTCACATTTTGAAGTGCCTCCATTGTCTAAGTGAGAATGTCTAAATTATATGGTAGGTGTGGCATAAATACATTGGGGGATGTGTACATTTAATAAACGTTTAATCACCTTGGATTTCTCTATATTTTCAGATTCACCTATAACTTCAAGGATGAAAAGGATCGCGAAGTGTATAAATACACTCTGTCAATTTGTTCTGAAATCGAACCCGGAACAAATATTGCAGTGACACAAGAAGACTTAGTCGACCATAAAACTAAAACCATAGGAAAAATTGACCAAGCTTCAATAAAAAGGGGGAGTAATTGGATAATGCTGACTTTGAAAGGAGGGGATCCCTACCATACACACTGTGGCCATAGTCCACGACAGGCACATGTCATGATTATGTGTGATAAATATCATTTAGCAGTGAGTTCAGCTTGTATGTTATTTAGGGTGACCATACGTCCTTCTTTTGGAGGATTTGTCCTACTTTTTTGTTAAAAAATGTATGTCCTCCGAGGACGCTCTGAAACGTCAAAATGTCCTCCTTTTTCAAGGGATTAAATATATAAAATTCGGTTATGATATATATAATCTACCGTTTTCGATGTGTTAAGAAAATTTTAAACCAAGTAGAGACTTGTAATTATCATTAGACATATGACAAGCAATAAATTGCGTTGTGATAGCATATCATACGGGATTACCCTACTAGGAGTCTAGATTAAATGCATACGCTAATTGTTATACACACTCGTCTATGACGTAAAAAGTGGATTGTTCTGCAATTATGTTTTACGTCATTTCACCTTATATTTTGCAATAGTAAAATTTCGATTTCGGCAGAAAATTACATCAGTAACTTCAGTAAATTTGGCGAAACAGACATGATTTAGAAAAGGTCGAACTGATAGCGAAATGGAGTGCATTACTTGCGCTTTGCTACTTTGGCGAATAAAGGCAAGCTCAGCTTGCAGTTGCACGTTGAACATTTGCAGTCGTTTCTGGCTGTGTTTAATGAACAAATAAGGAATAATGATCATTCAGGGGCTTTCATTATTAAAATCAAAGCTTGTCTTAATGCTGTTAAATTTACGATTGAAGAAAGAAACAAATATTCATACAATCCCGAATCTGAATTGCGTAGACTTCAAGCCATTTTTACGATATTGCAAAAAATTACGCGGCAATGTTGACAAAGATTAAAGAAAAAGCCAAATACTCATGATCTAAGGACAAATAAATTGATTCTTCTGTAGATGTTTTTTCAATAAAGGCAAAAATGCATTATTTCATTTTCGTCACTTCTATATTTAATCCTAGAGAATTTAGGCACAGGTGAAATAAGGTTCTACTAATGTTAAGATATCGATGGTTCTACCAAACGGTGTGTCCTCCTTTTAGGATTTGGAAATATGGTCACCCTAATGTTATTCATTGATTAGCAAACTATTTAACCAATACTTGCTGTAATCATCTCTTTATGATTTACAGAGAAACTTTACTGTGCTTTATGAAGAGAATAAAGAGGAAAGTGAAAGTTGTTTCTATCTGATGGAATTGCAAAGTAGTGTTGCTTGTTCAAATGTTGATCAAGGACTTAGTACAGGATCCATAGTATTGATAGTGTAAGTTATTATATGAGGTAAAAATCCACATATGGAATAGATGAAGGGATATATATAACCATCTCTTATGGAGGATTATATACTAGGTACATGTAGAAATGAGGCTATGTACATTATAATATCATCTCTGTTGCTGCCATTTTCGAACTCTTTGTATTGTGCTTACACTTGCTCGCAGAGAAAATTAAAATGAGTCTTTGCCATTTCAGATTTGCTTGTGTCATTGCAGTATACTTGGCTGTAGGAATGTTGTACAAGCGTTGCGTACATGGGAAGAAAGGCATGGAACAAGTACCAAACATTGGATTTTGGAAAACATGTGGAAGTTTACAAGCCGTAAGTTGCACGCTTTTATAAATTTTGGAATGTGTATTAGGGAATTTAAGATAAATTTCTATTTATTTCACCTGGGTTATTAATTTGTTGGACATGGTGGAAAAAGTATATTCAAATATCTTTAATTCATGTATTTCTGCAGGATGGATGTGACTGGCTTTGTCGTTGCCAAGAATCTGGTTTTGACTCCAGCAGACCATATCGTGGTATTGCTGATGACCAGCTTGATGATGATGCAGATGATGAAAATTTATTACCCATGTGAATTGTTTGAAAGCTGATGTACTACAAACTACCCTCAAACTGTGCTTTACAATGTTCGGTGGAGATGCCATGTTATACAATGAATCTGTCAGAAGATGGAAGATTCAAAATTAACATTAATAATTTGAATATTCAGCGTGAATTTCCGTACATACAAATAGTCTTATGTATACTAAGGTCGATCCTAATTAATATTAATTTTTTTACACTTGATGATTTGAGGTACAGTTCCAATCAAATTAAGGTTATCACACATGCTCATTACTCAAAAGTGCAATATATATGCAAGCAGTTCCTTTACTGTGTCTTCACTATAAAGATCATTGGATTAAAGTGACTATTAAAAAAACTAGTTCCTTCAAAACTTTGTTCAAGTTAACAACAGTGGTTATTAATAATAATGGCGTAGGAACGACTTAGCATCGTAGCCTGGGAAACGCGACACCTAACTGGCCAATCAAAAAAAGGTGCAGCTTGATAAATCCCTGAAACCATTATTTAGTAGTACAAGACCTTCAGTTCACAAACTGAGATGTTGAACATGTGTTAGTTCGAGACATTTATTCCAACATAGAATTGCGCTTTGGTGACAGACTCTAGCATGAACAGTAGTATTTCAGTTATCTTTTTATGACCATTCAAAGAGTAACAGATTTGTTCATCTGGGTATTTTAAACACCTTCACAGGAAGAGTTTTCTTATTCTTTGGCTCGGGTGGTGTGGCAAAAGTGAATATTTCCTGAGAAGTTAACGCGCCAGTCCATATTCCTTGTCTTTTCCACTGCTGTTCCAAAGTTTCTCTCTCTTCACCTGGTATATCAGGAGGCTCTTGTTCCAAGCCAGCAGCTTTCCAAATACTGCAAAATAGGTATACTCATCATATCTATATACAGACAACTGACATTATATTTAGAGAATTCCTATGCCATATGTGGAATATTCAGAAGATTAAATAATATCAGAAGTTGAAAATATTGTATGCTGATGCCACCAAAATAAGAGGAAAAAAAATGTCAAAACCAAGTGCCAAAAGTTATGCATCTCAATATATTGTATCTAATGTAACATTGTAACGATTATGTACCTGAGTCAAATTTTTTGCTAAAACTAGGCTTTCTCACTTTGCAATTTCATTCTTTACTTTTATTTCTTTCTTCTTTTGCTTAGCAGTTTCTTTGTGGGCTAGAAGAGTTTCGTTTCTTTTTCGCCACCTCAGATATCTTTGAAAAATGTTACAGAATAAGTTATTTCACCAGTTTAGAACACATATATCAATCAATCAATACATATTCATACAAACACACAAAAAACATGATACCTATGGTGCTTCATTCCTCTTCTTCTCCAATACTTATCTCTCTTATGAGCTTCAATTTTCGGCCTATTTCCCAAATTTGGATCAAGTAATGGAACTTTTGATTCATTTTCTGGCTCTATAACCTCCGGCATGATTGCAATTGGGATTCCAAAAATATAATTGTCCAGATTTCTTATAATAGATGGGGTTTTGTACACAAGAGATCCCTTGACAGGATCAATCATATCATTGTTTGGCACTGATTTCAGTCTGATATTATGAATATTCAGTAGTGCGATGTGAGAACATAATTTTGAAGTTGAGTGTGGTCCATGTAAATCCATTCCAAAATTTCTTGATATAAATTTATTCAATGCACCAGCACATGACAAAGCAAACCTGCTAGGCTGCATGATGCTGTACTAAAAGTCTCACAATTCCAAAGATACAGTATGTCGGTCTTGTAACAGCCAAAAACTAAACAATGTAAAAACAGTTAGTGGTCCTTTCCTATAGGTAGGTCGCGTTTTGAAGTAGAATCTTAGCCGAACATGCTTATATCCTTTCATGTTGGCCAAATTACATTTATAGTACATTAAATTGTCTTTGAAGACAAGTATACCGATTCCGAGTTGCTTCCGAAGTAAATTGGTCATTCTAGGTAGTGCCACCTGCAAATTTATTTCAGAGCTTGTAGTTGTAGCCCCCCCCCCCCATCAACTCTTGAATCTGGTTTGCAGTTAAAATTAGAATAAGATATCTAGCTGTTTCCGAAGAGGGTTGCCTACGCAGTACTAACAAACTTACCTGTAGCCTGTAGGTAGGGTAACTAATTTTATTGTATTGATGAATACGGTAATAAATCTCTCTCTCATTATTCGATTTTCGGTCTTTTGGCTATGACACTAGCTACCTGCCTCACTTGGTTTAGAGTGGAAGATACGGTAAAAAGGCGCGAGACATATTTCCATACGACCCCTCCAAATAGAAGACAAAAAAATCTATTCACCGTGCCAGAGCATCGACTTCCTTGTTTACTTCGTGCAGCTCATTGCTTCGTGACATCAATGACATTAAACAACATGATAGGCAACTCTGACGTCACTCCATAAGACTACAGGCAAAACATTGTATTTCATGATACGCTCCAATGCACATATTTCTCGTCGCCTTTCCCGTCCGTTTTCCGCTCGCTTTTGCTACTCGGCGTCTTTTTTACGTGTAGTACCTGCCTTTTTGCGCCTGTAACGAAACAAAATAATCTCTATATCTAAGAAGTTTTGCTTACTTGGAAAGCTGGAATAACAGGCAAGCTGTAAAGAGCAATTCTGGACATCATAGACGTTTTTTTTTATCAGAGAAGATTACAAACGCGATAGCGGAAAGATTTGTGTGGAACATTTTGCAGATAATGACAAAGTTCAAAGTTAGTAATTTTAATGTTTGCGCTTAATCATTGAAATTTCATTCAAAGAGGGTGTCATACAAAACTGTGCTGCGATACAATTCCATAACACAAAGTTTGCACCTATCGAACTTGCTTTTGTAGGTGAATTTATTAGACATATTACATATTCAGTTAATCGTAGGTAACATTGCTGGTACATAATGCATCGTAGATAGGTTTGTTTAAATTTAGGAATTTAGCTCATAGCCCACTAATTAATATTGTCTTCTATGCAGGAGGTTGCAGGGCTGAATTCAACTTGCAGCCTTACCGATCACCTGACGATGCTCATTTAGTTTAACTCAAGCAAGTCTTCTTGAAATGCTTGTGTGGATGGAAACTACCTATATTTTTTGCCTTCCTCCGATTTTAGACAAATTTATTCTGAGGGATTTCGCATATAATTCTCACTGATTGTTGGCTGTTTATAATTCCTATTGATTGTGAATTCTGATTATAACAATGAGTTGAAAATTTTTTTACCTAATTTACTGGCACCTTTTTTTTGTCAATACTCCAAGCTGAGGTAATAAACATGACAATACATTTATGTCATCTGGAAGCAAAATATGCACACTAATTAATGGTTTGGCACATTGAGATAATACATCATGACAGAAAATACAAGTTAAAGATATGTATGACCATCACATGGTAATTAAAATTAAAAAAAATTAATAGGGGCTGTGGAGTATGGAAAGTTCAAGACAAAGAAAAGAACAAATGTTCATAGCTCATGAACTCTCAATTTTGCCTCCATTGCTTTGTGAAGGCCAATATATTTCCAGTGGCTGAATTGGTTTACCTTTATGATAGCAACGATTTTGTATTTAATATAGCGAGATTATTTCAATTTAATTGAAGTGATATAATTTCCCAAAGCAATGCTTGAATCGTCTAGAATAGATCAGTGGTGTCAAACTCATGGGTTTTCGACAGCCGCATTGCATTTTGAAAATTGTAAAAAGAGCCGCAAACAGTTTTTGATAATGTATACTTAAAAGATATTTTTAAGATAGTTTTAGTTTGTGACATATATTGTGATGCAACTAAACAGTTGGATTAAGTTTTATTATTTTCTTCAATTTCAAATGCAATTACATATTAATATTTGCATTCCACTATTATTGCAACATTTGCGAGTTACAGTATTTATTATAAAAAATCGTAAAATTCTATGTACAACCATCAAAATCATTTTTGAACAAGCTTTGAATAAGGAAAGAATAATACATACACTAGAAATAACTTAATCTAAATATATGAACCTAAAATTAACAAAAATACTACAGTATAAACTCTTTTTTTTAATAATTACATTTGTCCTGGCGTTTGGCATCTTTTTTGTGTCACCAGCATACTAAGGCCAGTCTGAAATGATTTTATAGTACCAACTCTAACTAACGAGGCCACATGATCATGGGTTTATCTGGATCTTTACGAATGTTTAATTAATTCCAGTAATGCAAAAAAGTTACTTTTATCATTTCATGTATAGATCAGTAAAAAAACAAATGACAGATTTTTTCGACAAGACATTTCGCACTACATTGCGTGGCATAGGATTGCTTGTTATTGATATTGATTTTTAGTAACTAAGTCGTATAATTATATTAATATACAAACACATGGAAATTTTCTGTTCGAAGTTGGTCTTCGAATTTGTCATATTGACTGCTGAGCTTATTGTGTTTTTTGATTGTATTGATGGAAATATGACAAATTAAACAATGTGCTTCAGAATTTTGTGAAGAGCAGAAATGTTACAACTCCCATTTTCTTCGAAAATGCCACCTTCTTCATGTACTTTGCGTTTAATTTAATTACTCAAGTGTTTTATTCAAGTATTCTTTTGCTAGCTTGATGTGTATTCTTAATTGGGTCAAAATGTGGACAAAAAAAATTAATATTCCAAAACTACTTTCAGTAAATTGTTTTCTGTGTGAATAATCAATTTCACTTTAGAAGGTTTGAAAAATCTATTACATTTAGATAAAAAAAAAAACTTCCAAAATACTATTACAATTATTGTTCAGCGTTCAAGGGTCGCACTGGAAGTTCTCTGGGGCCGCGAGTTTGAGATCCCTGGTCTAGATTGAAGTTGTTCAAAAAATATATGATAGTATTTTATCATGAATGATAATTATACCCCTTCCGGAATTTCTTCTGTAGTACTACCAAAAGTTGATGAACCAAATATAACACAGGTGCAGTGAGGTACCCGTAATCCTCATTTCCAAAGCTGTTTTAAGTATGTCTGGCGTGTGTTGTGCCTTTTTACAAATAAGACCGCTTATGCAATCTTACGCTTTGGAATTTTTAGTCATTTTCCTCAAGCCCTGCAGGATGTGGGGGCCATACACAACTCTACCGGAGGGTCAAATGTCTTTGCATGCCTCCATAGGTTGTTTTTCTATTGCAATTTTCTATTTTCAATTGCATTATATTTCTTGGAATCACACTGTCACTGATATGTCGCCAGACTTCTGATATCTCCCCGTCTGCTATAGTTGTCCTGTGAATAAATAATAGGAAATTGAGATTAGACGAATAGTTGAAAGTTTTGCTTTATGTCGGCTTAATTTCTTGATTGATATACTTACTATTTCTGCTATTGCCTCTTGTGCTGCAAGAGTCTCACAATGCTTAGACAGGTTTGTCCACAACTTTCACATCTGAAGAAAGAGAGGAGATTTATTAATTTTCGTTAAGAATAAATAAAGCAGTCTATATGATTCAGAATGGAAAAGTTAATAAATCCAATATCTCATGTTTTATTTAAAAAATATTTTACTGAATTTGGTATATAAACCAACTAATAAAAGGGTTTAGTCAGAAAATTACAAGCATTCGTGGCTCCAAATACTTGAGAAATCAGACTATACAATATAGACCGGTATGAGTGAAATGTTAGGTGAACTTGTTAACACTTTGATTCAATACGCAAATAAAAGTGAATGCGTAATAGTATGTTACAATGAGCAGCAATCAACAATGAGTATATATCCTCACTGATTAAAAAAATCTAACTGGAGGTGCATGAACTATTTGAAACCATAAGGGGTAAGTAAATATGTAATTTCGGCAAATGGGCAACTACGTACCGTACTGAATTAATAACTTCGTAGTATTTGACAAAGGCTGGCTTTCCCACATGTACTTAACAGTGCGATGCCCGGGTGTGATATACAACAATAGTATTCACCTTACCTTCTACCGATTTCTTTTTACCCCAACTTTCAAAAATATCATTAAAATCGACAACAACTGTCAAAGCAGGCACGAACACCATTCGTGTTACGCCTTGAAAGCAGCACACATCCGCTCGTTTTCGTCTCGTCAAGTATGTGCATTGGAGCGTGCTATCGAATACGATCTTCGGACAAAAATGCCGGAGTTGCGCATCATGTTGTTTAATGTCATTGGTGACATTGGCTAATCAGAAAAATGCAAAAAGTGACGTAACAAGGCTCCCTTTTGGCATCCGCTCCGACCATAGACAATGCATAACAATTTGTTCTTATGTAAAATCTATGCTCAGACACTTTCCTCACTCAGATAGATTTTCAAGCGTGGTCGTAAACATTACCTCGTTTTCGCGTTTTTGAACTCTATTCGTTAGTTTTCTGTTGTGTTTTGGAAACCCAAATATAAATCAGATAACTCAATGATCATTCTGTCTTCCTAGGAGTTTTAATTTAATTGCAGTAATAAAAAATAAGTGTAGAAATAGCTGTATAAGAAGAATTTTTCGGGGGTCAAAGGTCGGGGAAAGGTCCATAGTGGTGGTAGTCTGAACGAATCTGCAAGACGATATCGTCGAGATATAAGCCGCTCGAACAGTATAGCCAAGGACATGTTTGTGAACGCTCTCTCAGCTACACTCTGGGTGGAGTCGCCAAACAAACCACGACATGACACGCATTGATCCAGCAATAAGGGATATCTGCCCTGAGTGCGGAACCGGTCCGCATCAAAGCGTATATATAATATAAGCGAGGCAACGCTCAGACAATGGACGCCATCTTGTGCCTATTGTTCTCGGCAATTTAACACGGCGCCTTATGAGAAGTTCCAACACAATTATTGAAACATACCTATTATTTTCACTAATATTTTAGGTAGAATAATTTTGAAGGTCGCGTTTTGAAGTAGAATCTTAGCCGAACATGCTTATATCCTTTCATGTTGGCCAAATTACATTTATAGTACATTAAATTGTCTTTGAAGACAAGTATACCGGTTCCGAGTTGCTTCCGAAGTAAATTGGTCATTCTAGGTAGTGCCACCTGCAAATTTATTTCAGAGCTTGTAGTTGTAGCCCCCCCCCCCCCATTAACTCTTGAATCTGGTTTGCAGTTAAAATTAGAATAAGATATCTAGCTGTTTCCGAAGAGGGTTGCCTACGCAGTACTAACAAACTTACCTGTAGGTAGGGTAACTAATTTTATTGTATTGATGAATAATAAATCTCTCTCTCATTATTCGATTTTCGGTCTTTTGGCTATGACACTAGCTACCTGCCTCACTTGGTTTAGAGTGGAAGATACGGTAAAAAGGCGCGAGACATATTTCCATACGACCCCTCCAAATAGAAGACAAAAAAATCTATTCACCGTGCCAGAGCATCGACTTCCTTGTTTACTTCGTGCAGCTCATTGCTTCGTGACATCGGCTAATCAGAAAAATGCAAAAAGTGACGTAACAAGGCTCCCTTTTGGCATCCGCTCCGACCATAGACAATGCATAACAATTTGTTCTTATGTAAAATCTATGCTCAGACACTTTCCTCACTCAGATAGATTTTCAAGCGTGGTCGTAAACATTACCTCGTTTTCGCGTTTTTGAACTCTATTCGTTAGTTTTCTGTTGTGTTTTGGAAACCCAAATATAAATCAGATAACTCAATGATCATTCTGTCTTCCTAGGAGTTTTAATTTAATTGCAGTAATAAAAAATAAGTGTAGAAATAGCTGTATAAGAAGAATTTTTCGGGGGTCAAAGGTCGGGGAAAGGTCCATAGTGGTGGTAGTCTGAACGAATCTGCAAGACGATATCGTCGAGATATAAGCCGCTCGAACAGTATAGCCAAGGACATGTTTGTGAACGCTCTCTCAGCTACACTCTGGGTGGAGTCGCCAAACAAACCACGACATGACACGCATTGATCCAGCAATAAGGGATATCTGCCCTGAGTGCGGAACCGGTCCGCATCAAAGCGTATATATAATATAAGCGAGGCAACGCTCAGACAATGGACGCCATCTTGTGCCTATTGTTCTCGGCAATTTAACACGGCGCCTTATGAGAAGTTCCAACACAATTATTGAAACATACCTATTATTTTCACTAATATTTTAGGTAGAATAATTTTGAAGGTCGCGTTTTGAAGTAGAATCTTAGCCGAACATGCTTATATCCTTTCATGTTGGCCAAATTACATTTATAGTACATTAAATTGTCTTTGAAGACAAGTATACCGGTTCCGAGTTGCTTCCGAAGTAAATTGGTCATTCTAATCGTCATAATTAACCATTTGACAATGGGGTTCCTTATGACGTCACAGATGAAAAGTTGTATTTTTTCGTCGAGATTACCGGCCGACCCAACTTTGCTTCAATGACCGTTTCTATTTTCTGGTTAACATTTTTCGTCTGTCAAGCTCCATAATGCCTTACTGCTCGGCTCCAAGCTGCGCTAGAAGAACAAATGACATTGTAGGATTGTTGCGGAGAAATTTTACTGCCTCAAATTAGCGTATCACTATAAAATCTTTGAAAAAATGACCAAAAATTGTTCTACGCTGTGTTTGGGGTCAAATTTAACGCATTAGATAGATTTTTATTCTTAATTGCGTTATATATTTAGATAGCATATATCCCAAAATTCCAAATACACCCTTCAGTTTCATTCTAGCCCTTATAACAGCGGACTTATTTGATTCGGTACAACAACACGACGAAAATTTCCCATAAGACTCCATTGTTTCGCGTTTCCCAAATATGGCACAAGATGGCGTCCATGATCTTGTTTAACATTAGGCAAGTTGGTTGCCGGCCGTTGGTCCGATATGACGTCCCACATCTATTTATATGTTCAGCCAAACCAACACACTTATCCACAAGGGACCTGTGGGAGAGTCCGGTCGAAGCCGCCGTGTTCCTGGGTCTTCAAACACAGAACGACGAAGGGTGTTAACAACAACAACATGTTTGTGAACATTATCTCGTGTTTATGGGTTTGTCATTGTTAATTGACGGGAAGAGAGAAGCCGAGAGGATGATTTAATTATATGGCGAATCGCGGTCTCTCGTTCGGCTACCAGTCCATTTCGGTATGAGATGGTTAGCCAGTTATTTGATTCAAATGCACGAACTTGTATTTCTGTAATGCATCAATTCAAGGCGTTTTAGTTTATCTGCAGTGATCAAAAAGTAGTCCCGAAAGCCATTTTAAAATTAGTTAAATGGCAGGTGGGCAAATCTTCAAATCTTTCGAAATAAAAGAGTGAATATGTAAGCAACTCGCAGATAAAGCATAAAAGTCCTTAACATATATATGGGAAGAATTTTTCGAAGTTTAGGGATCCGGTGACATAAATTCAGGCGGTTTACAAGACATAGGCCAGGTTTTTGTGTTTAGAACGTTAAACGTTTACTAAAGCTACAAGGACAAGTAAGCGTAGGCTACCCCCTTCGAGATTGGCTGGCAATTCTGATAGTGACAAGGGTTCGTCTCCTCTGTGGCCCATGGAGTTTTTCTTAAATCTCACATTTTTGCATTAGGGGCGGGGGCCTTGTACAAAAGACCCGGATTGTCAACTCTTGGCCTATAGGCTATCGGTACCAGGGGTGACCAGCCTACTTTCGACCGCGATAGACTAAAGCTTGCGATCGATTGATCGGTCATAAGGTCATACACAAAAACGAACGAGGACTGAATATTCAGATAACTGCAAACGTGCGAAAAAAATTACACCGCTGCCAATAAACTGGGCTCTGTGAGCACATTCTTAATGAAATCGGCACAAAATTTGTATTTTTTATGTTCCATTTGATTATGTGATTGTACCATATTTATTCAAATCATACAATTCAGATCCAGCCTAATTTTTAGTCGTAGGTATTGAAAATTCCTCAAAAACCTTGCCAAGTGTCCATGTACTATCTATTCTAAACGACGGAAACTAGATGTGCCGCGGCGCACTATCTGGGAACCACTGCAATATGCCACAAGCAAAATGAGTGGATTATACATTAGAGAAAGGTAGACAGACTGGTGTAACTTTATGCCTAATCGTCTAAAATTCACTAATAGTTCCTTCCTTGACTAAAATAATGATTTGAGTTATCACATAAACTGAGCACCGAAGATGTGTATCTGCTGAGCATTTCAATAAGACAACAAAACACTGCCCAATGAGAAGTAAAAATACGGAGATACGAAAAGTAAAAGCCGTTTTGGAATATATTTTTATGTGCTGGGTGGCGCGACAGCAATTTGTATATGAAGTGGGTTCGGACCAGTATCTTATGTGATATCCACGCTGGATCGAGAAGTTAACTCTATCCACTTTTGTCTGAACAAAAACATCTAGATTCTAGATCGACCTCAAAAACATCTAAAAATGTAGATTGGAAAACAAAACACCCAAAAAATATATATAAACATGAACTTACTAAATTTAATAAAATAAACAAAATAACAGAGTACAAATAGTTCACTATATTACATCATAGTAGATTTCGAAGATCATTTGAAGTTGATGTTGTTGCTTCATAGGGATTTTTATGTTTATGCTGTAGATATTTTTTTGAAACCGAAACAGGGTTTTTATATGACGTGCAACATTGTTTATTTGGAATTGGGTTAAATTTAATGATGACTAGTATTGCATTGAGTGAATCTATCTTCCTGCTGTTTCTTAGTTTTTTTCATGGGTATTGCACTTTTTCAACATCAGCATTTAAATGACGTAGTAACATTGCTGGCCCACATTGCTGTTGCCGTGTTATTGTTCCACTTTCTAACTTTACAAGGTTGAAGTTTTGTAGCTGACTTTCTGTCCTGCCGATAATGTTTTTTAGGATAGCTAGGTTTTATGACAGCTGACAGAATGTATGTTGTAGACTCGTATGTTGCTGACAGAAAAGGAAGACACGATTTTTAAAACAGTCAAATTTGCAGGTAGTCTCTATTTCAGCTATTTATGTGATATACTGAAGATAAAAAAAACTTCGTCATGTACTTTATACTTATATTTTTACTATATACGTTATGCTTTCTCCAGTTTTTTAATCTCTTGGATTTCATATCAGGCATATGATTTGAGTTTTATCAACCTTACATCTAATTCTAAATACTATTCGTTTAACAATTATACACATCGTTTTGTTTATTTCTCACTGAATAACATTTAAAACGTTATAGCAAACATCTAGACTCCAAATATTACATCTAGATTCTAGACCATCTTGAACAAAACATCTAGATCCAGCTATAAAACATCTAAAGTGGCAGCCCTGACTCTATCACGTCATATAATCAGGTTTTCTGGTTCCGACACCTACATACACCGAGCCCTGGGGCAATTTTCATATCTCCACAGTATACTCATTAATTCTACACCGGATGGTGTGGATTCTGTAGAACAATGAATAAAATTCGCAACTCGTTTTATATGGATTTATATGCTAGATCGTTCGTTATCGTTCTAATCAGTTTCTCAAGGAAACTATATAGAGGACTTGCACGGGTCACGTGACCTTGTTTACTGGAAGGCAATAAAACAAAAACGTCCTTTGGCTCCTGTCAGTTGCAAGTCAGATTATACGTTTCCGTTTTGTTTGGCTGTTGAAAATGGTTATTTCGTATTGTTCCGCTGGCTGTACGTATAGTATAGACAACGAAATGGATCTTCAGTTATATTCTACTGTTTTCAGAAGATCCGGAACATCGCGCAATGTGGATATCATCTATTGGCAGTACTGCTTGGTCAAGTCCAGAAGCCATCTCACTTGTGTTTCACTATTTGCGGACAGCACTTCGTCGATGGTGAGTCATAGTTATCAATTTTTTAAATATTCACAAGCTCCCTTATTTCAATGGAAAGCAGATGACAAACTAGTAAGTGTGTAAAGTAAACTATTATTAAGTGTGAAAAGTTGAATAGATAACTAAAGTTTGAATTCTCCATCTAAGAATACGCTCGCCACCGCATGTCTGATCCCCCTGGTAGTTTCACAGGTTTCAATCCCATGCGGGGATAGTTATGTGCGAGGGGATTGCAGCTATCCTCCCACTGAGGGTGGTTCACACGACCGCTGGTCGATTACGACATCCCCCACCATCAAGTCCATGCTTCTAAAACAAATAACTGGCTAACTAATCCCGACATAGAATGGTAATCGTACGATGTTGCACCTTGCAATCTGTCCCCAACCACAGATAAATTCTATCCCAAAAACTACCTACATTGGTAGGCATAGTTGCGTTTTAAATTGAAAGAAATCTTCATTAATGGTCAAAAGATGTTGTCTGATTGTTTTATTAGTTAGCAGGTAATTTATTACTGATCTGATACACAAATTTGGCACTGTCAAATGATGATTAGTGTTTAATTTATTTTCAAGAAAAAGGGAAGATAACCCATTATCTGCTGCTTATATGTCCCATCGATATTTGAATTTTCGCCATCTCCAGAGAGGAAGAGAATAGTTAGAGAAAGGGGGATTTTGAAGAAAGGCAAAAGGCAGGACCATTTCAACAAATTCTGTTAACTTGTTCGCGTTGCAATATTACTTTGCAGTTGTTAGCATAAACATTTAATGTGTCTTTCGACTAGACCTACCACACTTTAAAAGAAGCCGCCTACACCCCTTTTCACTAGAACCATAATACTGTAAAATATTTGATATAAATTACCCCTGAGGCATCATATCTTCCATTTGAAAGGGCTGTGGAGGCAGATACATTTTTTACTCCAAATTATGGAATGTTACTTGCAGGTTATCTTATCCTTGCTTATAGATATCTTGAGGTCAGTGACTCCAACTGACCCATGCATGCAACACTGAAAATTCTCTTGTGTACCGATAAAATTAGGCTGTTGGAGCCTTCAGACCTTGAAAACAGTCGAATCTGAGCACGATGGATTCATGTGAAACACGTAATATGCATTTATAGGCAAAAATATCCCATTCTGAGCAGCACCGATCCACAATCTCCTGGAATCAAAACATTAGACAAATTGGTGTACTGTGCGCATTCACGAATCTTTGCGAATCAAGTGTGCCTTTTGACTAAAGAAAATTAAGCATTGAAAGGGTCAATCTCAATATCAACCTAGTATCTGCAGATAAAACCAATTGTTTTTTAAAAATACATTTTTGATGTGCTTTATTTTTCAAATATATTTTACAATTACTGTAAAGTGTGTGATACATTTGGTACCATGAATACCATTTGCAAATTAGCTTGGGTTACACCCCTTTCGAATAAAAGTTCAGACTCTTAAGTCATATCTCATAATATTCTTTAAACAGAATGTTGCGGCTAGCTGGCTACCCATCAGAATTTTCTTTTAGATCACAAAGTCACAATATTACGCCTCGCTAAGTTGCATTGGCAACTGTATCTGGTTGTAGTATCGGTGTCCAACTTTAGACTGAAACCTTCACTACCAGATCCATCGAAACAATTTTTTTTCTTGATAGGGTCGTCTTGAAATTGCTTTCCTTAAAGCACAATGGACACTATATCTCCACCAATCCACAGTAATCACAAGTTACTTTGTCATTACGATAAGCATCAATAAATGGATACTGTGGATGTATTATCAAGTCACGCAAGCTGAGGTTTTGTTGCAACCTATACTTTGCCATCCATCTATTCCATGGTCGCACCCATATCTGTGAGATAATGGATACAGATAGAGTTTTCATAGAATCTAACGATCAAAGAGTGTGAAATTTATGGGCCAGCTATTTGTTTTCAGAAGCATGGACTGGGATTATGGGGAATGGTCGTAACCGATCAGCGGTCATGTGAACCACCCTCGGTGGGAGTAGAGCTGCAATCCTCTCGCACATAACTATCCCCGCATGGGATTGAAACCTGTGAAACTACCAGAGTGATCAGAGATCCGGTAGCGAGCGTATTCCTAGATGGCGAATTCAATTGAATTCTGGTTATTTTTTCCAGGCCCCATGGTGTTAAATTTTAGTTATCTATTCAACCTTCCACACTTAGTAATAGATTACCTGCTAATTAAGGAAACAATACCTTATAGCAATTGATTATCAATTCCTTACTGTCTTACACAAGTCAAGTCTGCAACTGCAAGTAGGCCTAGGCCTACTAATAACAGTAGTTTGTCATCTGCTTTCCATTGAAATGAGGGAGCTTGTGAATATTTAAAGAAATTGATAACGGCACGCTATCACCAACCACATTATCACTCACCATCAACGAAGTGCTGTCCGCAAACAGTGAAACACAAGTGAGATGGCTTCTGGACTTCAAGCAGTTCTGCCAGTAGGCAATAGATCATATCCACATTGCGCGACGTTCCGGATTTTTTGAAATCAGTGGAATAAAACTTAAGATCCATTTCGTTGTCTATACTATACGTACAGCCAACGGAACAATACGAAATAACCATTTTCAACAGCCAAACAAAACGGGAACGTATAATCCGACTTGCAACTGACAGGAGCCAAATGGACGATTTGATTTATTGCCGTCCAGTAACAAAGTCACGTGACCCGTGCAAGTCCTCTATAAAGCCTTCAGTTATTTTTAATATTGCCTCCCGAGAAATATCGTGGTATTTTTGGTATCTTTTCTCGTGTTTGGTTTTGTAATGTCGCTCAAAATTATATTCTTTCGTGACAGATATTACTTGAAAACACACCAGACACTGAGGTTTAACGTTGTTGTGCCTAGTTTACATCTCTCACCTTTTTTCTACACTCATTATATGATGAATTGTTATATTTGAAAACAAATTATTACTTGTAGCGTGAGCAGGCCTAGTGCTACCTTCAAATAAACAACCAAGTCCGTCTAAGTTGGGACCTCGGACCCCAAAAAAAAAATTAAAAAAACTGGACCGCGCGGCACAAAGTCAACTCTGCGGTTCGTCACTGCTGTCACGTGGCCAACGCTTGAAAATAGTGGAGTGTTTTTACTAATATAAAGACACAAAAGGTCTCTTCAAATGAGGAGTTACTTGACGCGAGCTCATTTAATCTGCTTGGTCCTGTCTGCACAAGACAATAGGCATGATTACATGTCCATCAAAATCAGTCCAGTGAACCGGTTCAGTCAAAGTGGTCTCGGAGACTACTTAGTGCCCTCGATTACATGTCCAAACCAACAAGCTGAGAACAGTTTTGGATTGGCCGGATTAAATCAAATAAGTCATGATTTGCAAACACTGCATATATTTTATTTCCAATAAATTCATAAATTGAATACAAATGTTAATTAAGGTATCAAAATTGAATGCACGTTCTTGATTTAAATTCTTTGAAGTTATTTGCAGAATATGATGAGGGGGTTGCTTTCCCGTTGAAATTTGCCCACAATCTAGGAAACAAAACGACAAATTTATTGGGGGCATAAAAGATAGACGATTTAGAATCTAGAAATTTTAGATCATTTTGGCCGACCATCCAGCGTTCAACGCTGCAGACTACTGGCACCTTACGCCACACGATCCATTCAAAAATCACAGTAGGCCTACAGTTACCAGTAGTCTACTGGCAACTAAATTAAAACAATTACATTTTATAAACATAAACACTTGTGTGAAGTGGGCTCATCATATAATAACAGAAGCACTTTCATTATTTAATATCGCCCTACTACTGCGACGTTACCGACACTGAAGCTTTGTATTTATGCTGGTACCGGTATGTACAGTAAGGGTACCGGTACCAGCTAGGATGCGTTATGGCTGTATGGTGCAATTCCAAAAGAATTTTCAATGCAAACTGAAGTCGTACTGCGCTCAGTTTATACCAATAAATCTTTAGACATCAAGATTTAATTCTCTGTTTCAAAACAACAACCTATCATGCCAATATGCCACACCGAGATCCCACCAGTACCGGTATTTTAAATTTGTGTTCAGCAGCGACACAATAGATGCGGAAGATGTTTAAATTAAACTTGCCCTATCTAGCTGAATTTTTATTAGTTTAAAAAAGCAACTCACTTACCAGAGATGAAAAAGAAAACAACTTCCGTACCTCCTTCAATCACGGTGATTCACGATTTCTCGAGTAGCACGGCGAAGCAACTGAGCAAGACCGGTTAGCTCACTCCCAGACCTCCTAAATAGGAGGTCTGATGTTCTGGACCGATAGCACGGATTTGAATCGCAGGCGAACCACTGAAGCGTGAATATGTGGTCTGCTAGACCGGTTCCAGCGGACATGTAATCAGGCCTAATGCATTCACCTTTTACCGATCACAGGACGTCATTCGCATATAGGCATCGTCTTGTCTTGACCGTCACCGTGATTTTAACAAACTTTAATCCGACATCGGGTTTAGAAAATGGACTATAGAAAAAGGCGAATAGAATACAACACACACACACACATATATATATATATATATAAATAAAAAAGAAAGTAGAAAGAGAGAATTAGAGTAAAAACATATGAAACGTTTACAGAAAAACTAAATCACCAATTGCTGTCAATGATTTCATTGTAAACAAGGGAACTTGCAGATATAGAAATAAACTTACATATATATAAATAATATATACTATTTCTTATATCACTGTCCAAAAATAATCCATTTCCCTCAAACATATATCTGCTGTTTTAATTCCGCCGTTGCTTATACCTATGGCTTAGTCAAAAATCGGTCTGATAATTTAAGCTTAAATTGTTTACAGCAAACAGATATTTAGAAAATCAACAACAGTTCTTTAAATAACAAATAGTCGACTGTAGGTAAGAACTTCATCGACAATCCGGACGACCGCATTACTACCAAGAATAGCTAAAATGCGCTCGAATCTGGATCATATGTTCATATTAATGGCATGAAGTAAGTAACAGATATTTATGTATAACATTCACTAAAGCACGAGGTGCTGGATCTAGGTCAGTTGGTGAATATTATATATATATTTATGTAACGTTCAGCTTTGGCAACTGGGTCGTGGTGATCGTTGTGTTACGAGTACCATTTTCCAGGATATGACAGCAGCATGAAATAAGAGTAAATGTTCTCACAGATCTTTACAAGTCTTTCCATTGCATTATAATTTCAGTGTACCTACGTTAACATTGATAGTGAAATGCGATAATCGCACTACTATAAATTCAGTCTTAATATTTAAATTTGATGTATCGCTCTCATTTAATTGGATAAGGAGCATACTGTCCTTGAGTGGCTGCAACATATGAGGGTGGAGCAGCACTTGGAACTGGCATAAATTGTGTTTCTTGATATGCGCTCGGTGGATACATAGGTTGATTAGTCGGGTAGGGCTGTGGCATTTGCAAAGGCGGTAAACCTTGGTGACCTGAAAAATTCAAATATGAAATGCGAAACGAAATCTACGCAAGTGATATGCCAGCCGAATGAAAGCATATTTATATGAGGCTATATATGTAATAATAATATGGAATTAACGAAGAAGATTCGGCTTAATTTCGTTGCTGTTATTCAGTCTCATTCCGTTACCAAAATTATATAAAACTTCACACTTTTCTTAATTTCTCACTCGCGAGCAAAACAAATATGATCTTACTGCGGCAAAACTTTGTGAAGGAGTTCTATTTAAAACCGACACACAAATTGTTGAGATTAGCTCTTTTGCTTAGCTTCGCATGCATATATTCATAAACAAACGTACCTGGCTGAATGGTAGGTACCGGTTGCGTCACTATGACACGTCCAGAAGATGCTTGACGTTGACCTCGTTTACTCCGGTAGCAACAGTACCAGCATACGACAACACATACTAGCATAAAGAATATGTTTCCTACAATAGTACCAATGATTGATCCTGCTCTAAAAACAAATATTCATTATTCATAGAAAAATGCTTCATGTTGTTCATCCACACGCAGTTACATATTATATTATTGTGATCTTAAAAGCTGAATTTATTATAAATAACTAAAAGATTATGTTATAACTTTATGACCCAGCATTCCAATGTTAAAAAATCGTAAAAATGTAAGCAAAATTGCACAAGTTCTGTTTTAAAACTTACCCCCAACGGTTGTAGGTGTACGAAAAATCATTTCTGTATCGTGTATATGAACAACAATACCCATCACGACAACAGTATGTACTTGAGCTAAATGGATTTCGACTCCTACATGATGAATTAGTACAGAAACCTGCGCACGGAAAAATATAGGCTAGTTACGCGTTGATATCTGTATCGATATCCAAAAGCCTGTTAATGAAACAGCAGTCAGATGTAGCCTTCTGCACTTGTCGTGGCGAAGTATTCGCACTGTTATTGAACCACATCTAGTAATACGCCTATTTATTATTTTGTCAAATATATTAAAATAGATGAATATAATATTAAATATCACCTGATATTTGTCTGAACATATTCGTCAGCATAACTACAAATAAAATCCAAATCGTACGTTGATTCATTTTTTCGTCTTTAAATGGGGTAAACGGGGAAATTGATGCTTTGAATGTGGGGATTAAAATAAACTTTTAAGCGGTATATCTAGTCGAATGATAAAGGACAAATAGAATAGAAATAACATCTAATATATAATTACGATAATAAGCTAATTACGATATAGAATATCATTTTTCCATTGTCTGAATATATATAAATGTACCCTATAGTTACAGTAAGACGCCTCGTTTTGAGCACAAAAGACTAAAAATAAACATCTGCAATTTTGCTATCATCATCAATCGCCTTAGCGGACACATCTCCGAGTATACCGTATATATCAAATAATCGGGATAAACATCCAACCACACGAACAGAAGTCGAAGCTTCGGTAGAGCAAATCATTCCCATATAGATAAATTACTACTACATTTATAACGTAAGGCGGCAGTTTTTATTCTTGTTCTGTTACATAACTACGCATTATCTGCAACATAGTATATATGCAGCGATGTGAATTCATCAGGGAACCGTCCTGATTCGATGGTCACGTGATTTCGTTTCAGCTATTGATTATGTGTCTCGTGACGCAGTTGGGCGGTGGCATGTGAATTATTGAACATATACATGTATTGCAGCGAAATGCATGACCAAGCTGTTCATTAATCTAATTTACTTTGACGTTTTGATATCCACTATCTCGTATCTGCAAAATGGTCGTACGCGGGATGAAATAAAAATTCTTGTTTGCGCGAGAAGTACTTCGGATTGTAAATCGAGGACATAAACAGGAGTCTACAATATTCTCTAAATTACCCGTGGTATCTTTTGTATCTCTTAATATTACATTTTTTCAAACTGCTTTCCAGTAGCCTAATCTTCAATTGTCCGTTCTTACAAATTCATTAGCGTCTGCTCCGCATTTTTCTTTCAATTGTTCGCCGCTTGGCGAGGGACAGCTTCTTTGTGAATCGCGTTGTTCGCTGTGAGGACGTTGTAACGTCATAGGCATAGATAATAAATTGGACTCGAATATAAGCTTCGCAACGCAAAGAGAACCAGATCAAACTAAATTAAAAATTAATTTAGCTTGCCGCACACCATTCAAAATTGGCACTTCTCCGCGGGCCGCACAATTTGTCCTCGTGGGCCGCATTTGGCTCGCGGGCTGCACTTTGCACACCTCTGGTATAGGGCAAAGTGTCTATAAGTGTGTTATAGTCACTTTGGTATAGGGTTGTATCGGACGTGTCCAGATTATGAACGTGTGGGAATTTTTTCAACTGTTTTAATGGTGCAGGCACGACTGTCGTCAATGGAAACCGTCTCAGGGCTGCTGTCAAATGGAGTTCTGTGTAGCGCAGACGGGATTTCCTACACATAATGCAGTTTTAGTGTCAAAACATTACCAAGAGACAGAACTGCAGTTGCCGTGATATCGTTAACATTGCATAATGACGTGCATATATATGTATAAATGACGATATAAAAGTTACGGTGTAGGCAATGATAGTTGAAGTCTGTTGAAATGTTTCGAATTGTATGTTACCGGTATCGGACTCGGTCTGTCTGTCTGTGTAAATTGTTGTCTTCTTTCAAAATATTTCTTGGCGTCATAGTTAATGATTGATTTTTTAGTGTGAGAGAGTAATAATTTTAAAAAAGTGAGACCTCAAGACAGAAATTACATGAATATCATTTGAACACATTGCAGTGTTTCAGACTTGTTGAAAAATAACGAACCTTCTGTATTGTTTAATTTGGACTGCATGTTTGATATAGTCTCTATTTAAATACTTGAATTCAAAGAAAAATGGATACAAACGATATTCCAGATTTGGATGATATGAGTGATCTTGTACAAAATATAAAATTAAACAAACAAAAGACTTATCAACACCCGACATCTCAAAAAGGTGATCATACTGTACAGCAAAAAGTAGTAGAAAATGCAGCGAACTGTAAAAAAGTTCCGCTAAAAAAGTTGCCCTCACAATTTGGTGGTATGAAGAAAGGATTTCTTTTTGGCGGAAATAGTGGTACGAAAGCAACACACAAACCTAATTCTGCAAAATCAAAATTGAAAGATCAAGAAACTGATATTATTGTTCCAAAACATCCAAGTGAAACTCAAAAAAATCCACTTGTTCTAGATGATGTTCAGGAAGCTATGAAAGAAAGTGGTATTACAGATAAATCGTGGGTGACTACTGATTTACTAAAACAGGTTGAATCGAATGAAAGACTTTCTAATCAGCTTTCGGACCCAAATATTTCAAAAGCAATATCATGGATGCAAAGAGATCCAAAAGGTGCTATGGAGTTTTATAAAAATGATGTTGAAGTTCAGAATTTTTTTAAAGAATTTTATGGAATTTTGGGTAATCATTTTACTAATATTGGTGCAAAGCAAGAAGAGAAAACTAGTAATGTCAATTCAGAAGACGAAGCCGCCATGAGTGATATCCTTGCGAATCCTGAAATCAGGGAAATACTTTCTAAGCCTGATATACAAAAATTGATAGAACTTGTTCGAAATAATCCAGACGAAGCACAAAAGCATCTTAATGCTGGTAATCCTGCCTTCAGGGCAGATGTAAATAAATTAGTGTCTGCTGGTATTCTGGGTTTCCAGCCACAGTAACATCCTGAAGTGGAGTGTTGTTAATCAATCATACAATATTAAGGCTGTACCAGCCCCTGGTGGAAGTATTCTATTGGACAGTGCTATCTGGCGAGCAATAACTGAAAAAAATTAAATGGGAAAAGACCAGACATATCCAGTGTAGATATATATTTGTTACAAGAATTTTGGAGTGTTTTAAATTACCATATTTACTATATTATAAACCCCAACAGTGATCCTCAAAATGTCCTTGTCCACTTCCAATCAGATCAAATTTTAAGTCAAAAGTCATCCTGATGATGATCAGTCAAAATTTATGACAAAAACTAAGGACATTAAATTGACAAATCATTTACAAAATACAATTAAGGTAGGCTTACATATGCCAATGTTTTTTCTATCAAAATTTGATTTTCTTGGAGTTAAAATTTTTGTCACTTATGAGTTGAAGACAGTTTTGAATGCCGCAGAAATATATTTACCAGGACTTCGCATCCCTTGTGACAAAGTACCGTGTGCCAAATTGATTCTTGTCCAGATGACCAATAAATCCAGATAAAAAATGAGTGAATATATATTATTGGTATTTAAGACAATAGTTATAATATATTTTACTAAATACGTAACTTCTATTGGCAGATAGCATATTTGAGGCCAAGACATTTTCTGTCTTCCTCACAAATCGATTGACTTTGGTAAATTAGGTAGTCTTTTTTTCTGCTGATTCAGGATAGCTGGAATATCAGGTAAAAGCTGATATATCCGACTTTGTGACCGACTAGTTTATCATGCAGAATTATATCTACCTAAACCTAACCCCAAATACATCAAAATTGTTTTCATAAAACAAGTGTTCCAACTTACCCAATATTTATCACCATCAGGGGCAGCCCTGCTATTACAGCCGACATGCCGTGTTTACGCAGCAAAATTGGTGGTATTCACCTCAATGGTGGTATTCCATTTGCTGCCGTAACCATGGCAGCTCGCTATTGGTTTGTGGCAGCTAAAAAGTCAGTCGCCGTGGGTTTGGTCATAGCGGCCATGGTTTGGAAATCCCGCCATGGTTTTGCGGCAGCTCTAGACGCCACAAAATACTTAAAACTGCACTTGCGCTCGAGCCCTCCCTAACCCTGGCACATAGTCTAGCAGTATGTAATTTGTTGACAGTGGTGGTTCATAAGCAAAAATTCCAAATACCAACTGATTCATAGCAGAGTAGATTGGCAACATGGAGGGGAAATTCTCCAGTTTTGCAAGGTAATGCACTGTCCAAGTACCGTAACCATTTACGACAGGGGTGTCAAACTTGCGGCCCCAGAGCACCTCCAACGCTGTAACCACCTCGAACAATAATAGTAATATTTCGCAAGTTTTTTTTTTATCTAAATGTAATACATGTTTCAAAGTGAAATTGATTATTCACAGTCCAGGGATGGCCAATACCGAATAATTCACTATTTCGAATACATTCGAAATTATTATTTTCGAATATGAAATTTCAAATACTTCGAGAATAAATTCAAGCTTGTCTTATTGTATGGCGGAATTGGCATAATATAAACAATGAAATAACCGTTACCTACAAGCTGGCTACCAGAAAATTTATATCCGCCAATTGCCGTGATATTTTATAGTAGTATGCCCTTTTTATTTTCGTAAGTACAAGAGTGCGAATCAAAATTAATTATAATAGGGCAGATTACCATTAGTTTTGTGTCCACAGATTGCCGTGGTATTTTAAAGTAAACATTTTAGTTTTCGTAAGACAACGCAACCATGAGTTACATTGAACAAAAGTAAATTAATACCGAAGGCATTTTGAATGCTGTTATCAGTCATGGATTTACGGTAAATTATTTGCAAAACAGATAAGCCCATGCTTTTAACAATTATTATCAAAACTATTTGCTGAAAGTGGGTAATAGTATAAATTATTTTTTTGTGAATACGAAAATATGAATCAAAAATTATTTATAATCCACCATTTTACAACACATTATATTTCCAGAGATTACAGCGTTATTTTAAAGTTGTGATGCTTTTGTTTTTCGTATAATTATATTCAGACAGTTACCGCACATTTTACGTCCACAGATTGTCGCCGTATCTTAGAGTAGTAAAGCATTAATTTATTCGTGAGTCGGCAAAACTATGAGTTACGTTAAACACAATTAAATTAATACAATAAGTTGAATATTTTGTCGCAACATAAAATCATCTTAGTTAGAAGTCCATACTTTCAACTATCATTATAAAAATTATTTTCCTGAAGACGGGAAATAATATAAATGTTTTTTTTCCTTGAGTACGAAAATATGAATCAAAAATTAATTGTAATCGGACAGTTTACCACACATTTTATGTCCACAGATTACCGTGGTATTTTAGAGTTGTAATATTATTTGTTTTTCGTAAGTACGGAAATAGGTATAAAAAATTAATTATAATAATTAGCCAGTTTAACACACTATTTATGTCCGCAGATTGCCGTGGTAATACTTTTATTTTTTTCGTAGTTGACGCAACCACGGGTTACGTTAAACAAAATTAAATTAATAAGGCAAGGCATTTTAAATGCTGTTATTGTTCATGAATTTGATTATTTGGTCGCAGCGGAAAATCATCATTTTAAAAAGTCGATACTTGAACTGACTAATAATTATTTGCCAAAATCGGGAAAAAGTTTAAATGATTTTTTTCTAATCAATCAACTCGTTTTTTCGGACTTGAGAGAATTTATTGGGTGTCGTAATTTGTAAGAAAGCGCACGACTTTATTAAACTTATTTAATATCTGACTATTTGTATTTCTGTGAGACCTGTGACTCGATACAAATGAATGC